TGCAGCTGGAATGAGACTTGGGACTGTCCTACCCAAGAGTGGAGACCAACAGGTGGAAATTGACATCAAGGGTGGAAAGTGACGATAGACAGCAGGTGTTCCAACCTCCACATTATCTGTGAAGAGGTCTACAGAGGGACAGAGACTTTCCCAAGGTCACCCAGAAGAAGGATTTTTGTCACACAAGCCAGCACTGGTTAGCATACCACTGGGCATGAAGGAGAAACAGGCAAGTAACCAATATCACTTTGCACCAAGACTTTAGGCTAAACAAGAGCCCTCTGTCAGCTGCAAGGAGATTGAACTGGAAGAGGGGGAGCCCATAGAAGATGGTGCTCCAGAACCCCTGGGTCCTAGCTCCAGCTCCATAAGGAAATGTTTGCAGAATTTTAATCAAGTTACATCCTCTCTCTGAGCCTTAGTTTCTTCATTTATAAATGAGCTTGGCTAAGCAGTGAGAGCAAAGGTATCACCAAATCCATGAGTGAGAACATATGGGGTGGACTGTGGCCAGGGCCTTCACCATGGAGGACAGGAAGAGGACAGGGTTTAGCAAGGCACACAGGACCCCAGCAGCATCCCCTGTGCAAGGGTCAGGAGTGCAGCTGCCACCAAGTGACTCAGGGGAAATTACCCTCTGCCCCAAAGTGCCTTGACTTAGCCTTTCCTCTCCTTGGTGTTTATTATAGAAACTCAGAAGAACTCTGTCTCTGTTCTCCATCAGTCATATAGGCATCAACAGAGAACCCAAGGTGGTGAGGTCCCTGGAAGCCAACGGCTCATGGCTTTGTCAAATGGTTCAGCTTCGAAAACAAGTTGTCCTTCTTGGCTCCAAGTGGTGTTTATTCAAGCTACTTGAGAAGATAATGGTAATTATCACCATCATTCACTGAACAAGTGCTTTATCCCCAATTCTGCCAATTTTATGGAAAGAATATAGAAAGGATTAGCAAGGTTCAACAACTTGCCCCAGGCTGTAGAGCTGGCTGGTGTGGAGCTGGGATTTGAATATGGATCTGTCTGATTCTTAAGGCCTACAGAGCCTTCCTCCCATTCTGCCTCCCACTGATATCAGGGGATAAAGAAACAGATGTTTTCCGCTGCTGGTCTCTTAGGCCAGGAAAGTTTCAGTTTGGAAAGCAGAGCGCCATGTGCTGGGAGAACAGCTGCAATAGAGGGGATGGACTAAGATGACTAAGATACTCTGAATCTAATCCAGTCTATCCTGGGAGGGCTTGAAAAGATCACCAAAGAGCTGGCAGTGACCTCGGAAGGACTATAGAGACAAAACAAAAAACAAAAAAAAAACTGAATACCAATATTGTGTATTCATGAGCTCAATATCAATCCAGATCCAGGGTGAGATTGCAGGACAAGTAATAAAAGTCAAAACTTATCAGTAATTAGATGATCATCAGGGGCCATGATCACTTTTCAATGAATAAATGAGTTAAAATAAGCCTATATCAGAATAAAAGCTCTCTTTGACAAGATTATCAGATGGGTTGTCAGAGAAACACAATAAATGTAATGGACATAATTTCAGTAAAGCAATTAGCATGGACTCTCAGTGTCTCCTGATGGAGAAGGAGAACCTAGGAAAGTGGGTTGAGTGTAACTCTGGGGACGTTGACTTGTGCCCAATGCTGGCCCTCTATAGAGATTCAGCAGCATTTCCCAAGCAGTGTCCATGTGGGCAAGAGCTGTGTTTGTGTCAAATAGTACTCTGTCCTAGTCAATGATTTCATCCATTAACTGATAGAGATAGAAAAGTAAGGTTTAATATTAAGTTGAGATGATTTTTAATAGTATAACTTAGTCTTTGGGAAGCCCTCCCTGAACCCTCAAAATAAAAGGAAAAGTAACCGAATATAAAGGAAAAGTTCTGGGAATCCTGATTTACCTGTGGTAATTGTTTTATAATAAGCCTGTAATCATACATTATGGGAATGGAATTTAGGAAATAAAGAGAAAATGACAGGTCAGGCTGATCGAAGTTTTGGTGACACATGAGCATCACGTATGTTCTTGGCTGAGTGACATGGGAAGTCCCCACCAACCCTGGGCTCTATATACCTTGCTATTACTAAAACCCTTATCCATGGCATTGACCTAGGACACAGCAATCCCTTTCCTACTTTCTGGAATCTGGTTTCCTCTCTTATGAAACAGTCTGGCTTAGGCTTGTAGTTTCCAAGCTGTACATCAGAATCAATTTGATAACCTTTTCTAAAACAAGAGATTCAGGGACCAGCCTGTTCCTGACATTGAATTAAGTGCTGTGATCCTTAATTGTGCTACGTCAATTTGACTTGAATAGACTAGCAGAGTAGTGAGTTCTGGGTGTGTGAGTGGATGACTGATGTGTACACTAGGAAACTAAGGGGGAACCCCACCCCAGTAGCCTGAACAGAATAAAAAGGGAAAGAAGAAAATGTGTGCCCGTCCTTTTTGCAGAAGAGCTCCAGTCTTTGTCTTTGCCTTTGGATGCTTGTCTCCAGTTTCTTCAGTCTCCCCGTGCAGACTCTACCTCCCAGTGTAGACTCACACCAGCAACTCTGCAGTGAGCTTCCAGGCCTTCAGCCTTTGCTACTGGATCCTCCAGCTCCACAGCATGCAGAACGCCATTTTGGATTCTTCACCTCTGATCTCACAGATGGCCATTGTGACTCTTCTGCCTCTGATCCTGGAAGCCTGTCTAATAAATCCCCTTGTGTAATTATATTTTTTATTATATATATTTTCTGTTCCTCTAGAGAACCCTAATACTGGTAGCATCTCTGCCCTCCATTGGGTAGAAAGTACAGGCAGTGATGTGTATTCAGCCTCAGGCGATGAGTTCTCCCTTCTAGTTCCCAAGGCACACTATACAGTCCATATGGCATTACCATCAAAGACACAAGACATGGAGGTGCGGGGAGGTGGAGGCCCACTGGATTACACCAGTCTGGACCTCAGTCCTCAGTCTGGACCATGTCTTACACACCAGGTCATGAGTGCTCAGTGCCACAATGGCTTATCAGGGATGAAGAACAGGTAGAGGGAGATCTCATGGCAGAGGGGGCCAGAAAGATGTGCCTGGTGTGCTGTCCAATCAGGGCTGGTAGAGAGGTGAGATGCAGCCCAAGGAGGAGCTGGGATGTGAAAGCCAGGCCCCTGGAAGGTGGTAGGTGCTGCCTTGTGGCTCTGGGTTCATGACATGGGAGCAGGAGTTGTAGCCTTGGCCTCCTGGGTTTCCCTGCCCACCTCTTGCCTGAGCTCCCTGAGAACAGCTGGTCAGGATGCCAGCAGCCCCTCAGTTACCATTCCCTTACCCTCTGCTGTATACCAGAAGCATGCTGTTCCCAGAAGCATGGGGAAGATGCTTCCCTTCCTGAAGGGGCTCCCAGTGGGGAAGGGGACCCCACCATGCTTCCAAGGAATGCCAAGTAATAATTAAGAAAGTCACTAGCAAGGCAGGGCAGCACCCAGGGGAGGCCCTGCCTGGTGCCTCAGGCAAATGACTCTCCCCAAAGTGGGCTCCAGGCAGCCCAGGTCCCCAGCGCAGGGCACCTGCAACCCCGGAGCAGGCAGCCTGGAGCCCTAGACTCAGAGGACAGTTGCCACCTTCTACCTGCAGGGCTGCTGGGACGACTAATGAGCTCCTGCTTCTAAAGGGCTCTCAGCTCTTCAGAAGGGCTCTGCAGAAGTAGAAGTGGGTTATAATTACCACTGCTGTAATTAATGAGTCCAAACTTCTTAGAGAATAAAAAGTGCTTAATAAAAGGAGGAGTGGGAGGGAAAAAACCCAAAGTGTTTGAACTTGGGATTTTTTTTTCCTTTGTAAAGCAGGCTTTGGTAAGGTATCAAATGTTATTATATTCTCTCCTTTCAACAGTGAGCAGAGGCCCAGATGGGCTGTCCCCATGCCAGGGCAGAGTTTCCAGGAATAATAGAATGCTTTGCAGCTCTTTGAAAAACACTGGGCTGGAAACCAATCTTGCCACTCCTGGTAACTTAGATGCAGTAAGTCTGCATCTGTAAGGGCACGATGTCACCCTACCAGGCAGTGTCGGGGGGTCACCAAGCTCAGGGAAGAGAAGCACCAGGCACACAGCTGGCATTCAGTCAGTACCACTTCTGTGACCACACACGCTCCATGGGGTGAAGGAAATCAGGCCGCCTGCCTGGCCTAAATGGGAAAGGATGTAACTACATGTTTCCAACTCTCTCTTTTATAAATAAGCTTATTTATAATATACATGCTTAAAAGCCTTTTGCTTTGGTAGTGGTGGGGATGTTATTTCCTTGGAATGAATTAGCAGGATTGAAGGGGGTTAGCATCCTCAGGGCCCTTGGAATACACTGTTCAATCTCCCTCCAGGCTATCCAATTGGAAGAGTCTGCCTGTTGTACCACCGCTTCCCCAGCACTGTGTATCATTACTATTTCAATGTGCGTACGTGTGTGTGTTCAAGTAACTAACGCTGGAGGGAACACCATTCCTTTTGTGAGCTTTTGTACCATTGGTACAACTACTGGGAGCCTGGGAATTCTGACCCTGCCTCCTGGTAGCTGCTGATGTTGGTCACAAAATTGTTAGCAGTGCTTTGACCTGGTAAAACAGGTAGTAAACAGAGTTAAGATTGCTTCTATGCAGAAGAAATATCTAGCAGATGTTATCAGGAATCGATATGTATCCAGAAACTTTTGTAAAGAAATTGGATTGTGCCAGGTGTGGTGGCACACACCTGTAATCCCAGCACTCTGAAGGCTGAGGCTGGATTATTGCTGTGAGTTTGAGCCCAGCCTGGGCTACACAGTGAGTTCAAAGCCAGCCTGAACTACATAGTGAGACCCTGTCTCAGAAAAAAAAAATTGGATTGTTTGGAAAACTAAACTAGAAATTAATTACATTGTAAAATGTTATTTATTTATTTTGTAATACTAGAGATTGAACATTTGCACTGAACTACATCCCCAGCCCTTTTTAAAATTTTTATTTTGAGATAAAATCTTGCCAAGTTGCCCAAGCTGGGCTCAAATCTGTAATCCTCCTACCTTAGCCTCTCTGAGTACAAGTCTGCATGTCTTTCATATTGGCCCGAGATTACGAACCACCAAGGCCAAAGACAGTTCTACTTGACTTTTCCTTTCCAGTCTTTGGGAGAGGAAAATCAATGTAGAAACAAGTGTCAAGAACAGCTGGAGTCATCGGTGTAGGATGACAGAGCCGCTCTGGAACAGAACAAATTCATCTAGAGGCCGGAAGGAGTTAGAGAGCTTTTCCACACACCTGGAAGGAGGGCTGAGTTGGACAAAGGCTGGTGAGAAGAGCGGGGACCCATGGCCTCAGCGCATCCTGGCTCCCTGAGCTCCCCGGGGGACTTGCCCTGGCCCACATAGCCCCCATCTGACTGAGCCGGGCCAGGTGGGCCACTGGGGGGTCTTATGTTCACTCCAGTGCTAGGGTCTCAGTGTGTCCCCAAATTCCTGCACTGAAACTTAATTGGCACTGTGACAGTAGGACCAGGTGGGTCCATTAGGATGTGCTAGGTCATGAGGACCTCATCTTGAGGGATGGATCAGCACCCGTACTGGGACTGGAGGGAGCCGACCAGGCCTTTTTTGTTCTCATCCTTGGTACCTTCCGCCATGTGAGCACCCAGTGTTTGTCCCCTCTGCAGGCTCTGCCTTGGGAGGAGAGACGAGGCCCTCGTCAGACACAGAATCTGCTAGCATCTTGATCTCAGACTTCCCTGCCTCCAGATCTGCACACAAGAAATGTCTGTTGTTTATAAATTATCTAGTGTTGGGTGTTTTGTTGTAGCAGCACAGGAGGAGCAAGACACCCAAGGAGTTTGGAGGGGGGTCCTGGAGACTTTCCCTGTTGGGACTTGAACTGGCAGGGCAGGGTGACTATTTTCTGCTATGTACACAGGCCGAGAAAACTAAGGTTCAAAGAGAGAAAGTGGGATAGACAAAGAGACACAAAGAGAAGAGATGGGATGGGAGGGAGAAGCCTAGAGCACATTGAAGCAGTCAGAGGAACTGGGGACAGAAGCCCTCTCGGTCAGAGAAAGGGGGAAAGCAGAGCAAGACCAACCCCCCGGGCCAGGTCCCCATTTGGGCCCCTGCCTCAGGCTGAAGGGTCCCTGGATTTTTACCGTGAATTCCATGTTTTACCTATAGCTTCCATGTAGCTTTCTGCTGCTTGCATCTAAATAATATCTGCCTAAGACACTCATGGTTTTCTTAATAACTTGACCTCATTTGCTAATGTTTATGATTTTTTTAATATTTAAAAAGTAAAATCTAATGAAAATATGCTAATCTACCCTATTTATTCCTTCTGCAAGGAAAGGTTCTAGTTGCCTACTTAATATTCGTTCCTCTCTTCCTCTGCTCTGGACATAGCAATGTGCCAAGCTAAAAGGCTGCCTATTCCCACCTATCTTGCAGATACTGATGGCCACAGGAGCTAAAAGTAAAAGTCTTTGGGACAGGCCTCCAAGAAAACCTCAAAGGGCTGACTCAGCTTTGAGGTGACTTTCCTTCCTCCTTTTCTTGTTCTCGTTTTTCTGTCCCCCTAGGATCTTTCTGTGTGGAGTTAGGCACGATAGTCAGGGTTTCAGCAGCCATCTTATTCCCAAGAGGATGGGGCCATACTTTGGGGCTAGCAGAACAGGGAGCTCCAAGGAGCCTGGGTATCTGATGAACGCATGGACCACCCTAAGCAGCCAGGAAATTGTTAGCCAAGCCCTACCAACTCTATCCCAGTTCCGGCCCAGGCAGTCACCATCCCCTCTTCTTCATCCCGATCTATGTCCAAGCTCCCTCTTTCCTTTCTGGGGCCCCCGCCCCGGTCCTCCTGCAGCCCACCCTTCCTGGGCAGACCCCCGGAGAAAGCCTGTCCCCACGCCTCACTTCTGTCCACATGGCCGAAGGTGCTCCCTAGCCGGCCGGCCCCACCTGTCACACAGTACTCTCCGTCCCGGCCTCCCTGGGCTCTCCTGACAGCCCCTCTGTGAGCCGGCTCCTCACAGCCTTCCTGCCCTCCGCTCACCTTGGCAGCTCTGCAGCCCTCCTTGCTGCCCCTGCAGTCTCGCTTGCTTCCAGTTCAAGTTCTTCTAACCAACTGTCCCTCCTGCCATGACTTCCAGAGCGATGGAGCCTCCCGGCTGCGTGGCCCCTGTCTTGGTCCCCAGTCCTTGATTGGAAGCTCATGGCCAGGTGTGGCCCCCGTCCACCTGTGCTCACCATCTGGGGGAGCATCTGGCCCAGGGCGGCCTTGGGGACTCTGCAGAGTGGTGGGAAGTAGAAGTTTTGTTCTGGCAGAAAGCAGAAGCCAGCGCTTGGGTCCAACAGAGGGCCAAGAAATTCCAGCATCTCCTGGGTCCCACAGCAATGACCCAGTGCTGCTTCCATCCATGGAACTCAGTGGCCACCCCTGCCTGGGAGGAAAGGCAGCCTGGATCAGGACCGGACGGGGCCCCATTGTCCCCACCATCTAGGCCACCGAATATCGGAGGAACAGGGCTTCCTTTCTGTCTTCCTGAAGGAAACTGGGGACCCTCCCTCCTCCACCAGAAGTCAAAACTCAAGGGCCCGGATGACAACTTGGCATTGGCCTTGGGAAATAATCCTGAAGGGCGGGGTAACCTTGACCCCGATAGACATAGAGCACACCTGGTGTCGGTCAGGGACACCCCGGTGCAGTGCTTCCCACCTGAGCTGCACGCACGTCCCCCAGGAGGCTTGTTAGAGTCAGGAGGGCTGAGTGGGCCTGAGAATCTGCATTCCTAGGTGCTGCTGTTGGCTGGGGCCCCACAGTGAGAGTCTGTATGCTGGGACCTAGGGGATCCAGCCTGGAGCCTCTGCCACCCCCTGAGACAAAGGTGTCCCTGGCGGGGCACAGCTAGCCTGGGGCACAGCATGAGGCCACTTCAGCTACTCCAGGGGTGGCTGTGTCATCCCAGTGCACCTTGGGGTGACTGCTGGGCTCCGTTCAGCTGCCTTTTCAATACCTTCCTAAAACCCTTGAAGAGGAGCAGAAAGATCTAAAGTTCTTACTCTGCACTGTGGAAAATATATTAAGGAATTATCATTTAGCCTTAAACCCTATATATGCAAATGTGCTCATTTGAATAACTGCCAATTTATGCGCCCCATCAAATTAGATATTCAAATTCCAGCCGGTGTACGTACAGTTGTCACCCTTCCTGGTTCAAGCTTAAATAGTCACATGAAGGATGAGCTGCGCTTCTCTTCTGGGCCCCTGTCTCTTTAGAACTGAAAGGAATAATTAGAGATTAGTTTTCTGGGGTGGAAATCATCCCTTTGATGGCTGGGCTGGTGCTTTTTGCCATTGCTTCTCTCATGATAACACGACCATCCCCTTCTCCTGTGCGTGAGCTCTTGAAAATGCGTGCTTTCTAATCCCCCAGTTTTCACAACACCCCTGCGGGGTTGTGGCGTGAAAAATGGGACTCCCATTTCACAGGTGAGGAAATCGAGACCTGGGCTTTGGCCGCTCACATGCTTGGGGTCTACTCAGGCCTCGGTGCTCTGTTAGTCCGTTCATGGTGCGTTTTCTTTTTTGTCCCTCAGAAGATTGGTGATAAGTTTAAAGCTCTTTCTTTCAAAGAATTCTTCAAAAAAATAGGAAAGGTCTCTCACTTGGTTTCACCCTGTGACCCAGAGGGCCTGTGGAGGCAGCTGTTCTTAGCCCTGGCACAGAGGAGCAGGGCAGGTTAGAATCAGGGCAGTGATTAAGAGACAGTGCCACGTTCACCAGGATCAGCTGGGCCAGCCCAGACCTGCCTGCAGGAAGACTGGTCACATCTCTGCTCTGCTCTGCATTGGTGCCCTCACATTGCTGCCTGGAACTGAACGTGGTGGCAGTGTTTGTCCCAGTGGAGTTGGCAGCACCACCCAGAGAGGGCCCTGCGTCTCTCCCGCCCAAGCCTAAGTCCAGCTCCGCTGCTCACAGAAACGTCTAGGACAGAAAGCAGCTTTGTTTTCCTGGCAGCTTTATTTTGGGATCTTCCTGGCTGCAGTCCTCAGCAGCCCACTCTCGTCCCTTCATGCAGGCCAAGCATCACGCTGAGAGAGGTGACCCAAGTCCCCATGGCTGCCTTAACCAGGGGACCGTTCACCTGTCCCTGAATGGCTCTGGTCATAACTTGTGGGATCTGCAAATATTCAAATATTTGAGGGGACCAGGACCCCCTCTGTTCTAAAATTATACACCACCCAAATGCTCCCTCCCTGTACCTCTGACCTCTGTACTAGGACCCTGAGTCAGGACATTCACAGCCTGTCTATTCTTGCCTCTCTCTTTGGAGGTAATAAGTTCCCTGTGGCCAAGCTCCTGCAATAATCCAAGCAGTGTACAGTAGGTAGACCAGGTGACCCAACCTGAGACACCATAGCTGCAACCTTTGGGCTTGACTTTTAACCCTATGTAGCCTTTAGACACTAATGCTGTCTCCTGCTGGGTTAAATGTCCAGGCCTATTCTCTGCCAGCCTGCTCTGTCCCATGGTGACCCAGGACTAGTGTGACACAGGCTGGCCACAAGCTACCCCAGCACCATTTTGAGTTTCTCTTTTTTTTTTGGTACCAGGGATCGAACTTGGGACCTTGTGCTTGTGAGGCAGGCGCCGGAACCACTGAGCTAAATCCCTGGCCCTTGAGTTTCTCTTTTGAGTTAAACAGAAAACTGAGTTAGTAAGATTCCCTTTGACATTCACACCAATAGGAAGGATGCCCCTTTAGACGCAGACTCTGGCTTTAGAAGGCCTCTATTACCTCTCAGGTGCTGCCAGAAGACATGGGCTCAGTTGTGGCTTGAGAAGGACTTTCCCTTTATTTCACTGTGTAGTCCGCATCTGTGGGTCGTAAAAGGCAGGCATAGGACTTCGAGTAGTTAATAATGTTACATCCTTCCTTTCTTGAGGCCCTTGCTCATGGTTCATTCTGGCTCAAACTCTCCAAGTTTCCACATCACTGGGGATTGTTTTAGCAGGTCTCTGATACAGTATGGATCCTCTACCAAAAGAGACCCATGATACCTGCATTTTAATAGAGGTGGGAGGGACTATTTGGTACCTTTGAGGTTGATTTGTTCATGATATATACCCTATCTATGTTCTGAATGTATTTAAGGGAGTTTACAATATTTGAAACATATATAAAGCAGCCCAAAACAAAACTTCAAAGAGGTTTCCTGAATCATTTAGAGAATTGAGGAAAGAACACTTCAAGAACCTGGGATTAGACTTGATTTACATCTGAGCTTCCTAGTGGCCAAAGCAAAATGAAACAACTAAAAGACAAGATAATAGGTAATACGAAGAACTTCGAAATGGACATCTTGTCCTTGTCTGGAGGTGGGGACAGGGTTGATGACTCAGGGAGTCCCCTTAGCATAGGGGGCCTGCTATGTGACCTCTCACCCCTCCTTCACCCAGGTAATGCCAGCACTCCCTAACTGACCTTAACTAAACCCCCAGAAATGACAGCAGTGCCTGCTCTATTTCCAAACCAGCTTCATAAATAAACATGGGCGCCTAGGAGGAATTCCCCAAAGAAAGTTAGGAAATCAGAGCTGTGTTTATATTAAGGAGCCATGCAAATACAGCAGCTGCTTCCATCCGTAAATAGGAGAGGAGAGGGATTTGGCGGTTGTTTGTGATGATCAAGTGTGATCTAGACCAAAATAGTCAAGTGGATTTGGCTTGGGATTTTCATACAGATGAACATGGGGCGGCCCGCTGTATGCCATGACTCAGGCTGGAAACATCGTGGACAAACTGGTTTCTCAGAAGAAGGCTACTGTTTGACATGTGCTCAGGGACTCACCAATTGAAACCTCCATTGGCTGAGCCTTGGTGCAGGCTTGAAGCCATCTGCCTCCTTTATCCACCTGGTGCAGGTGACATTTCCAATGGGTGTTTTGATTGCAAGGGAGTCTTGTGGAACCATTGAGTGCAGTCAGTCCGTTTCCTTGCACCTGGATAGCTGTAAAATGCCTTTGTACCCTTCCCTCTCCGGGCCCATGTTCCATTCTCCTCATTACTGTCCCTCCCAATAGCCTGGTATACCTCACTGCCAGCTCCCCCAAAATGTGTCATTGGAGGGAATCTCTCAGACTGGGACCACCTCCTTACTTCTTCTAGGGCTTCTCAAATGGTGGTGAGTTTTGCACCACAGGAGACATTTAGCAATGTCTGGAGATGTTTTTTTGGCTGTCAAGATGGGTGGAGAGAGGTGGTGTATCTATAGGACAGGGGTCAGAAGCTGCTGAACATACCTACAATGCATGACAGTCCCCCCAAATAAAGACATGGTGACCAGTCTGCCATGTTGCTAGTGCCCAGGCTGAAAATCTCTAGCTAATAAGCTACTTGGCCTCTGAAACTTGGCAAACAGCAGCTCTTGGTCTGGAATAGCCTCCCCAACCCCTGTTGCACTGGGATCCCCATGCTTGGGTTCCCAGTCATGCAGAGCCCAACCTCAAGGGACGAGTTGCACATGGCAAAGAGCTCAGGGCTCATGCATTCCGCTCTTCCCTCCCTGGCCTTCTTGCATCTGCCGAAGCCAGGTCCCAAAGAGTCTGCATGTGGAGTTCTCTGAAAAGTGGCCTTCAGCCAGTCCCTTCTGGCCTCAGTTTCCTCCCTGTGAAAAAAAAAGCACCGACCTTTCCAGTGCTGACCTCATCCCATCCGTGCTCCCTCCGAGGTGACAGCTGCCCACTTCCTCGGGGGCCTCCGTGTAAACAGCTGAAGTGCAGAGGGAAACCAAGATTAACTCCGCTCCAGCAAAACCGCGGGACATAGAGAAGCTTGTTAGAGAGACGAAATGAAGGCTGCGGTTTTAATTAATTCCCACAGAAGAGCCTGCTCTCTGGGGCTGTTGATTTGTACACTTCCAGCTTTTTTCTTGACACACGCATCCCTGCCAGCTGACAGATTGGGCCCACAAGGCTCCTTCCGAGGGACAGCAGCTGAGATCTGGTGCAGAGTCTGGGGAGGGGTTGCGTGGGGTACCAGAATGTGCATGCTGCCACTGGAGCTTGCACAAGTCCATTTACCATTTAGGTCTCAGTTTCCCCATCCATACAATGGGAATGGGGATGCTTTGGCTACCATACAGAGTTATTAGAAAATCAACAGAAGATGGGGAAAATGGGAGTGGATGCAGCTAATATTTGAGGACCCTATTTAAATGGCAGTACCTTTATATGCAATATCCCATTGTTCCTTGTGTTAATTCTCTGTGCTATGGAGGGGAAACTGAGGCTCAGCACTGCCGATGGATATCACAGTTCCATGGTGGCCAGCTGATCTGTGACAGGACCAGGGCCACGTTTCCTCTTCCCACTGGCTGGGGGACACCTGCAGGAACCAGGGGCTGCTTCACACACCAGAGTGTTGCTGGCCTTTGTCATCATACGTGCATCTCATCCTGCACCAGGCCTAAGGCCTGTGGGCTGAGGATCCAGGAGAAGGGAGAGGGAAGAGAGGTATTGAGAGCAGGAGGAAAAAGATTGGAGCTGGGCCTAGGAGGATAGGAAGGGCAAAGCCTAAGAACAAAGCCATGGTGGCCAAAGGGTGTGGAAAGCGCATGGCCCCATGGGAAAGATGGGGAGAAGGTGGCATGGGGCGGGGGTGGGGGTGGGGGGCGTGTCAGGGAACAGGCCACCCTCTCCACCCTCTACCCGGGACTCCAGGCTCTCAGATTCCTCATTCACACTCGGGTCAATGACAGACTGGGACCAAAATTAACATAAAAAAATTAACAAGTAGAACCCTTAGAGATAATTAGCATTTTAATTGGGATCAGTGCTTCAGGCTAAGGGAGGATGCTTTCATGGTGGAATTTCAGGCAGCAGCTGGTAAGTCCAATAGGATCTGGGACACTGTTATGGCACCCGGGGACCCAGCCATCCCTCCTCTTCCTTCCCTCCTACCTTTCCATCCAATTAACCTCACAGGATATTGTCCCCATGCCAGGCCTGGAACAGGTGCTTGGCGTACTGTCTCCCACTGAATTCTCTAACAGCCCCAGAGCTACCTGCACGCTATTTCTACCTGGTCCTCTCTCAGCAGGAGGGAATCGGAGACGAGATTTACCTAAGGTCCCTCTGCTCTCAGTGGCCCAGTGGTCGGGCTGGTGCTAGGATTTGGATCTGCTCAGCTTTCTTCCTGCCTCTTGTGATGGTAACTCCTGGCCTGATAGAAAGAATAAAAAGGGCTCCATGGCCTCTCCCCAGGCAAATGGGAATACTCATTGGCCTTGAGAGGGAGAGCGAACTCCACAAACCCAATTTCCAGTTCATTTAAGGATCTTGACTTGAGGACCATATATTTTTATGAGTATGAACCATTTCATGTGGATATTGTAAAATACCATTCTTCCTGCTCTGCCAAGTGGCAGTTAGGGTTCCCCAGGTGCTATTCCAGAGGCAAAGGAAATCCCTGGTTACCTAGAAACAGGATCCTGCCTGGCCTTTGAAGCTTGGAATTTTGCCTTTGTACTTGGACAGTGAAATCCCATCACCCACCTGTCAGATTTGGTCCCATTTTCCAGGGGAAAGAGAAGGTGGAAAAAGGATTGGAGAGGGGTAAAACCATTCAAGGTGTGTTGATTTCGGAGACTCCTCACTACATTGGGTGTTGGATTCCAAGCAAACACCCCCAAAACAGCAGTTCCCCATAAAACCCACAAAGGGGAGGTGCGTGTGCTTTTTCTTCAGCCTGCAGCATCTCATGGCCACAAGGCCTGGTGGGCAACCCTTGTGGAGTCTCCCTATGTTCACCTCCTGCTGCCCAGCACATGCCCTCTTGCCCTACACCACTGCAAGTTTAGAGGGCTCTCAAGGGCTGCTGTGCACCCCAGCTAGGGCCAGGCCCCCAGCCCCTATTGAGGCCCCCCCCCCGCCAGGCCCTTGCTCCTCCCTGTGGTCCTGGATGTTCTGTTTTGTGCTTTGCCACTGAAGGGCTTGCCTGACCCAGTGCTGCCATGTTCCCTTGCTGCAGGGTGGCCTGGTGGCCTGCACTCTCTGCCACCAGGGTGCTGGTTTCCTGAGCTTCTCCCCTCCTGACCTGCCCTTCTCATGGCCATCCGATGCGCTGAGGCTGCCAGCAGGGTGTCCGCAATCCCCTGAGCATCTCCCCAAGTACACAGGGAGGGTCTGCAGCTTCCCCACATCTCTATCAACTGGCCCAGCTTGGGAGGCCTCCTACTGAGGTATCCAACAGTGGGCCCAGGGGAGCCCTTTGATCCAGACTCTAACTGCACTTTATGAGAAACTTTAAATCACCTTTTATCTTTAGGAGAGGAAACTGAGTGGTGACCTAGGGTCCCACATGTGCAGATGCCAGGCTGACTTGGAGCATAAGCTCCTAAGAGAAGAAACAGGTAGTAGATGGCAGGGCAGGAGCACGGACTCAGCCTCATGCTCCTAGCTGTGGGTTTCTCTATGTAGTTGGCATTTTGGGGCCCCTCCAGTGCCAGGCCAAGGGCTAGGTGTGCATAGATGTGGTCAGATACACATCACATTGAAGACAGAAGCCTCTCTGCAACTTGCAGGGCAGTGGGCTGTGGGAGGCAGGGCGGAAGTCTGCGCCAGGGTTTGAGGGTGCTGCAAAGCCACTGCTCCTGCCTAGTCTCAAATCTGCTTCCACTAAAAGATGCTCTGATGGTCCATGAGCCATGTGCTTGGGCACCGGCCACCACTGTCCTGCCACCCACACCCCACTCCCTCCTGAAATGCCCTGCTCAGAGCCAAGGTCAATAGCAAGCAAAGTGCACGCGTTCTCCTTTATCCCGCCTCTCATCCCCAATCCCACCCTTGATGCTAGGCAACGGATGGGCCTGGCATCTTACTCCTCTGAGAATTGGTAATGGAAATTCTTCCTTGCTAGCATGGGTGGGTGGGGTGGCAGGAGAATTGCATTTGGAAAGAGAAGCTCCATGGGGTGATACTTACCGAAAGCGTTGAGGGGGGAGAGCGTATTGGAGTGTTGTGGGCTGATAATGTCCATTTATATGTTCAGTCCAGGTCCTGCAAGTGATAGGGGTCTCCAGTCCTGACAAAAAGTGTAGGAGTGTGACAAACGATGCCTTCGAGTCTGTATTAGTCACTTTCCCATTACTGGGACAAAAAACCAACACCCACAACTTAAAGGAGAAGAGGCTTATTTGGCTCAGATTCCAAAGGGTTCAGTCCATGGTCACCTGGCTCCAAGGCAGAAACAGTGTGGTGGAAAGGCCTGGCCAAGGAAGGGTGCTCAACTCATGGCAGTCAGGAAGCAGAGCAAGAGAAGGGAGGGGCAGAGACAAAGGACATACCGTTCCAGGTCATGCCCCAGTAACACACTTCTGACCCGCCCCACCTCCTAACAGCACAATCAGCATGAACTCATCCATGGATGAGTCCACTCATGAGCACAGCGCCTCCGAGGTCCAATCACCTTCCACACATAGGAGACTTTGCGGGGGATGTTTTAGATCCCAACCATAGCCGTGTCTGCGCTAATAATGACTGTGCTGATTGCTTAGTACTTCTATTAATTCAGCATAGATTGTCACAATACTCTATCCTATATTTGAGTCTCTAATAAGAGTAGCTTTTCGGTGTTTTTTTTGTTTTTTTCTTTGGTCCCAAGGATTGAACTCGGTCCTTGTGCTTGCACAGCAGCCGGCGAAACCACTGAGCTAAATCCCCGGCCCTAAGAATAGGTTTTTGAGATCACAGACTCAAATATTCAGTAGGACGCCACTGAGGCTGGCCCTGCATGGGTGCTTCCTGTTGGAGCTCGAGGCTGTGTGGGGAAGGCACAGTATGGAAGTAAAGGTGTGTGTGTGTGTGTGTGTGTGTGTGTGTGTGTGCGTGCAGGATTCTAAACAGGAAACCTTAACACACGTGGATGATCAGATCCTTGAGACAGGGATATAAGGTTATAGGTGGGGAAACTGAGGCCCAAAGATACTAAGTATGTTTAACTGGTGGCTGGGGTGATTAGATGTCCTTTTCCCAACGGTGAGTGCAATGTTTTCGTTTGTTTGTTTGTTTTTGGTTAAGCGCAATGTTTTTGAGAGCAACTTCATGGCCGGCACAGGAAGAGACATCAAAATGGACACCCCAGCCTGTCTGTCCATAGCTCCCACAGTTTACATTAATCATTCAGTTTTGGGCCAAGCCCTTGCATGCGTGCAGAAACACACACCCTTGCTCCCAGTCTGAGTTTGAGGACAAGCCCAGATGACACAGAGAAGGCCCAGCTCTGCCTTCCAGTCACTCAGAAAACAAGAACCACAATGGTCCGGGCACCACTTTGAAATCTGATGCCCAGCTGGGCTATGCCTTCCCCTCCCTGTGGTTCCCCCTGGGTGCCCCCTGGGGAAGCCAGCCCTGCCCTGGAGCTGGATTTGATCAAAGTCCCCACAAACCCAAGCTGAAGCCTCAACTCTGTGCATTTTTAAAGCATTATTAAAGTGTTTAATAACTTTCCACGACTTCTTCCTCTCGAAGGCCCCGAGCAGCCTGCCGTTCCTCTTTCCTGCACCCTTCGTGGAGAAGGGGGGCTGGGGGGGCTGGATTCGATTTTCCTCACCGACTTCACAATCATAATCGCCATGTTGGCAATTTCCATGTTCTGGAGAGCTCCTCGCAGTATAACAAATGCCCTCATTACCGTGTTTGCCACCCCTTGATGTGGTTTTAAACACTCCGCTCCATTCCAGTCACCCCGTGACGCGGCCAATCGGTGGCTGGTAGCTTCCTGTGTACAAAACAGGTCTCCAGCCTGCCCGGACCCAGAGATTTCAATCTTATCTGGCAAGCAGAGTAATTTGAAATTTAATCATCTTCCTCCCAAGTGAGAACGTCTTGTTATTACTTTTTAGAGAAAAGAAAAGCCTAGAAATCAATCTCCAGAATTCGAGGGTGGAGGTGGAAGGAGGTGGTGACTCAGGCTTGGAACCCTTGGGATTCTCTGAGTCTCTTCTTCCAGGGATTGGGTGACTGTTCTCAGCTCCAGGGCTTGGGCTGGCACAACTGGAGGGCACAGGGAGGCCAGGACAGTGGCAGGCATGTCCTAGTACAGTCCCTCTATCCAGGAATGCCACACAGCCATTTCAATTGCAGCCTGCAAGTGAGAGGTGAGATGAATATTATACACTATTTAAGAAAACCAAATGCTGCCTACAGATTGTGGAGAAGAAATGAGGTTTAAAGGTGCTGAGTCAGAAGCTGGTCTAAGGAAAATTCTTCCTGTCATTAGCTGTACACGTGCCTAAGAGAGGGATAAGACCCTCAGCAACCTCAAGTGGAAATCAAGTTCTTCCTGCCTAGAACGCTTGATAATCCTGCCGGCACCAACATGCAGCACACTGACAGCCGGATGTGAAGGAAATAGGATGGAGGTTTTCCTGAATTTGAGGACAGTGGTAACATTTACATCACTAACAGCAACGAGTCAGGAAGCTGAAGAAACCTCCTTAAATGATCAATAATGAAGAGAAAACTACATGGGAGGTGCCAAAGGGAAGATCGATTGTCCTTCCATTCTGCCCGCCAAAAAAGTAGTCCAAAATTGTTGACAAGGAAGAGGAAAAAAAAATATATAGTCAAAAATAGAGAACAAAAAGAGTATCTTTAAGGGCACATCAGGGAGTTTGTGACAGTCAATACTGTGCGTTTTTCTGGACTTTGTCACGTTTGTAGTTTTGTCAGCTTTTAAAAATGTGATTTGTGACTTGTTGTGTTTTCTCATCATAAATAATAACTTGCTCTCCTATCATATTTTATACGTAGCATTCTTTTTCTTAAAAAGTATTCACACCAAAGCTAGATCCAGCTGAGGGCTGCTGGGAGGATGCATGTGGGTGTGAGAGGTGACCAAGGTCGACCCCAAAGTCATATCTTTCTAATGTTTGGAGGGTCAAAAAGAAAATGTCCTTAATTACAGAATGAAAGGAATACTTGGGTTCTGAAAATGACCTCAGTTGGCAAAGGAAACAGCTGGCTCCTTGTGCTGATGTTGCCTTATGCCTCCCAAGCCCTGGAAGTCCCAGCCAGGCAATATTGGGCAGGATTCTCAGAGGAAGAGTCTGGTGGAAGTGCCATTAGGTGGGAGAGCTAGGCAAAGGCCTGGGCTCCAGGAGGGATGCAGGCGCGGCTGTGTTGAGCCAGGAGTGGCCCCAGCACAGAGCCGGGGATGGTTTCCCAATGGCTGGCCCTCCTGCTATTGATCCCATTCCTTAGGACTGCAGCCTGCTGTCTCCCCAGCAACCCTGCCCACATTTGGATCTCACCTGCTCACACCTTGCTTCATTCACACCCACTCCCCTCCAGTCTCCAAGCTGGTCATGATTCAACTTCTCCAGGCTTTTGTTTCTCAGATTATGTCCATTTTTTGCCCAAGTGCCTTTCGGGAGTCTTCCACATCTTGGCATACTGCCTCTGATTTGCGTGATCTTTAACTGGCTTTTCTATGGTTGAAGAAAAAAAAAATCCACAGAACACATTTTGTGATGTGAAAACTACATGAAATTCCACTGGGAGTGTCCACAAGTAAAAGTGTATTGGAAACAGGAATATATGTTTACGAATTGTCCCCAGCTGAATTCACGGTGTGACGACAGAGATGAGCAATTATGACGGAAGCCATGTGGCTACAAAATGTGGACATTATTTACTAACTGGTCACCCAAGAAAAAGTTTATTGACCTCCGACTCAAGTGCTATGATTAACATTGTGCTACACTTGTTTTAGTATGTAAGCATCCAGCTATGCAAAGAGAGATTTGCAAATCAGACACCAGCAGGGGGCTATGTCCACAGTGAGGGAGGGAGGAGGAGGCCTGGACTTCCTATGGGACAGCTTTGGTGGGGACTAAGGCGTCACCAGAGTGACCTTCAGCTGGACCCTGGGTGCACTGGGAATTGTCTGACCTAAGACTATTATGGGTCCTGCTGCTTTTTCCAGGTAATGGACTGGGCCTGTTGGCCATTGCAAACGTAAAGATTTTCCACAGTGTGTAATTATATATTGGAGAGGCTATTTGAGTAGGATAGATGTTAAGCCCCTGGGAGACTGGTGGCTGCAGCAGTGCTACACACCTCGTGCTCAGCACAGTCTGTGTGCATCTACGGCCTCCATCAATATGAGTTAAGCAAATGAAGATGAGAATCTCTGAAATGGGACATGAGTCTCCAATCCCTGCCTCCACCAGTTTACCTTTGCTTGCCTGAGATAGGAACCTCTGGCCCACTCTGTCACCCAGAACAGCCAGGGGCAGCGGGACCTCCAGAGACACTGGAAGGAAAATGCCAATTTAGTTAGCCATTCACCCTGGGCATAGCCACCTGATGATGGAATGTTCCCTGCACCTGAGATGCTGACAGAGAGGTAAGGGTCATTGTGCCCAAGGAGGAAAGGAGAGCACCCTCTACAGGATGTGGCATGCTGGGGTGGGGGGAGCTGTTTCCTCTAAGCTTTCTAGGTAGCTCCTGAAAACAAACCTCAAGTAGTTCCATTAAAGGAAACATGATTGCAAACAGCTGTCTCAGAAATGCATAATATGGTCTGCTATTCCTGAGTAATATATATATATATATATATTTTTGGTACCGGGGATTGAACTCGGGACCTTGCGCTTTTGAGGCAGGCGCTGGAACCACTGAGCTAAATCCCCGGTGTGAGTAACATTTTTTAAAAAGAAGAGAAGAGCAGTGAGTTTGGGGTAGTAAAACAGGTCAGGAAAGCGGTGTACGGGAAATGGGTGAGAGGCTGGCCAGGCCTGCAGGCTCTAGATGCCCACTCCTCTGCCACCTAAGAGACAGCAGATACTGCTCTTTGATGGTGGACATGCATTGCCCAAGCACAGAGATTAACTGGCCATGCCCTTGGAGGACAATTCTGATTACATTTATTATTTATTTATTTTCATTTTGCCAAGTTAGAAAGGCTGGAGTGTACTCTCCCCACTGATCTAACATTAATATGAGAAAGATGAATGCATCGGGCATCCATTATGTGTTTCATTATTATGCTAATACTTTCATTCATTCATTCATAATAATTCCACATCCCCTTGCCAGTGAGAGGTTTAAAAATGATAGTGTGACTGAATTTGCATTGATAAGACTTGAGGCATATCTTCTGAGCTTCTGGGAAAGGTTGTTTAGGGGTTCCTTTTGGGGTGATGAAAATGTTTTGTAATTTGATTATAGGTGATGGTTGTGCAACATTGTGAATGTCCTCAATCACTGAATTGTCACCTTCAAATGATCCATCTTGTGTTATGGGAATTTCATCATGGGAAAACAAAAGCATGAACACCAGGAAGGGTCTTTTGCCTTTCTACCCTTTTTCTATTGTCATGTGAGGATGCTGGCCTAGAGTATCAGCAGCCATCTTGTGACCATTAGGGCACCAGGGTAGACCACTGGTATTCTGAGGATGGTAGAGCAGAAAGATGGGGAAAATTAGCCTTGATGGCATAGAGCAGCTATAGGCTAGTCATATATTCGGCTATATTACGTGAGCTATTAAATACCTGGATTGTCGAAGTTGTTTGGAGTCAAGTTTTGTCAAATTTTGTGTTTCTAGCAATGGAAAGCATGTTGATTATACATGGCCTGGTCTGTTTTCTTCAGTCCAAGAGAGCAGGGACTTCCCTTCTATTTAGCATCCTGCCGATATCATATCTAGCAGTTAGCAAATGCTCATAAATTTTTGTTGAATGAACAGGCAAGTATTTTACTGAGTTCATTGAGCTGAAATTTTACAATAACTCTGTGAGATAGATAGAACCATTTGATTTTTTTTTTTTTTTGTACTGGGGATTGAACCAAAGTTTTCACATTGAGCTACATCCCCAGCCCTTTAAAATTTTTTTGAGACAGTCTTGCTAAGTTGCTAAAATGCCCAGGTGGGGCTAGAACTTGCAATCCTCCTGCCTCAGCCTCCCCCAGAGGGCTGGGTGGACCTCTTGATCTTAAAGAAGAAACATCTGAGTCTCAGAGAGATGTGATTTGCCCAAAGTCACAGAGGAACAAATCCAAGCCTATCTGATTATAGTGGAGTGAATTGGGTGCCTGTCTTTCAACCTGTCATTTTCTCATTATAGCTTTGCTTTTTATCATTAAAAATGATTAATCATGAGAACTGTCCCATTTGAAAAGGAAAATAGCCTTCTGGGAAGGGCCCCCAGGTGACAGAAGGTGGCCCAGGGCAGCAGCAGGGCCTCACCTTCCTGAGCTAAGCAAGGGATTCTCCCCTCATTCATGTATTTTGGTGAGGATATAAGATCCCCATGTTAGCTACAGCTAGTGGCTATTTTAGATCCATATTTATGCTTAAATGTTTAGTTGGAAATTCCATGCAGTTGATTCTATGCTTATTCTGTCCTTAGCCAGTTCTCTCTACTTTTTACAAAACCTTCCTGAGCTTCAAGAATCACTCCTGGCCTTATGGAGAAGGAGGTAATCCAGCCAGGAAAATCCTATAACACTTATAGTTAAGGATCTGGAGTCTCCTCACGCAAAACGTTTCGGGGCAATGGCAGTTTCTGTAAGTCGGTTGGTTGGCAAGTGAACTTCATGGATTGAACTGTTGTACTTCTTAACTTGGTCGTTCTTATTCTGAAAATATATGAGGTATGATTCAAAAATACTTTGTTCAATTACGTTTGAAATTTTTCATTACAGTAAGACACATTGCCATAAATCCCCCAAGGGAAACTCCCCCTCACTTTGCATACACTATTCTGTCGTTCTTGCCACTTTGATGAAAGTCCCTGTTCCTGAGTGTCTTTAGATGTGCTATAGTAGCTGCCTTGATGTCCCAAATCAATTCAAAATGTTCACCTTTCATGGTCATTTTGACTTTGGGGAAGATCCAGAAATTGCATGTTGCCAGATCCAGTGAATAAGGTGGCTGAGGACACAGCGCCATGTTTTCATAAGCCCGCCTTTCTATAGGATGGCACTTGGTAGCAGTATTTACTGTATTTTTAAAATCAGACCTCATAAAGGTACAAAAGAGGACTTCTAGAACTACTTCAGAAAGTGGCAAGGGTGAGATAAGTGTGTTCAAAGCAAGGGGGAGTATTTTGAGGGGGATTAATGGCAATGTGTCTTTTACTGTAATAAATTTTCTTAATTCAAACATTCACCATATATTTCCATCACACTTTATATATGAATAATTTAATATACAGTCATGCTCCATGCACATCATTTGTCATAGCAACAATCTGGAAACAAGCTAGATGTCCACCAGTAGAAGAATTCTTAAAGCAGTACATCCTCTTAGACTATTAGGAAGTTGTTAAGAATTGTGCTTGTGAAGATTAAAATAGCATGGATTTGCTTACAATATAGAGTAAAAACAAAATATCAAAATGGAATGCACTGTGATTACTATCTATAAAAATAATCACAACAACCCTACAGATCAGAGTAAAATTGGAGCCCAAGTCATGTCTGTGCCAGGATTCAGGTCTTTTGGAGCAAGTGTGGTCATCTCGTGGGCTTCCAGGGGTCCAAATGGCACATGCTGCTCTGCATGGAGTTTTGGGCAAGGCGCCCCCCATAAGCCCCAGAGGGCCGGGGCTCTGGGGACCAGGATCGCCTACCCCATCCTTTGGGACCCCAGCCAGCCCTGAGGTCGAGGCTCCAGGAGAGAGAGCTGCAGGTGGACACTGGGCCTGTGTGTTCGCAGCAGTGGGACAGGTACCCTGGCACCCAGGTGAGCTACTGTCCTGCAGACCAGACCACGGGCGCACTCTCCACCTTCAGCATCCCCATGCCAGACGACCCATGACTGATACCAGGGCCCTGCCAGTCCCTGTGCCTGCTATGCCCTTCCCAACCCTGACCTGCAACAGTGTGAGGAGCCTGGTGCCCCAGGCATAGCGCTCCATCTCTAGGTCGGTGGCCTGGCCACATCTCTGCTGTGAAGGGAAATGCAGGAGAGAAACCTCTGTGACACTCGCACTGGCGTCAGGGTGGCCCCACACAGCCCAGAGAACCCCTGAAGGCTGGTAGCCGGGGAACTAGAATCATAGGAGCTGGAAGGAAGCTATATGAGTTCACTAGGGCTGTTGCGACAAAGTACCATGGATCGAGGGGCTTCAACAGTAGAAATTCATTTCCCTACTGTTCTGGAGGCTGGAGCTGGTATTCCAGGCAGGGCTTCCCCCTCTTCTTTTTTTCCTTTAGTGGCACTGGAATTGAACCTAGAACCACTGCATAGAGCTACATCCCCAGTCCTATTTTATTTTTTTATTTTGAGACAAGGTCTTGCTAAACCACTAAAATTGTCAAGGCTGGGCTTGAACTTGCAATCCTCCTGCCTCAGTACCCCAGGTTGTTGGGATTACAGCCGTGCACCACCACACCCTGCTGGGGCTGGCTTCACCTGAGGCCTCTCTCTGTGGCTTGGAGATGGCTGTCTTTTTCACATAGTCCTCCCTCTGTCTGTGGCCATGTTCCAATTTCCTGTTCTTATAAAGACACCAGTCTTATTGGATTAGAGCCCAACCTAATGACTTCATTTTACCTAAATCACCTCCATGAAGATCTGTTTCCAAGAAGTCGCGTTCTGAGTTGTTGGGGGTTAGGGTGTCAACGTGTGAATTTGGTGGGGACCCACTTCAGCACGTCATAGAGGCCCCAAGATCAGTACCACAGCATTTCCTCACCCCCAGGATAAACAGTGGAGCCTTGCACAGGCCCAAGGAAGGAAGACGCAATCTGCAATCCACAATCCGGGCCCTGGGCTTGCTTCTTTGGCAGAGCCCACATACCTGACTGTTATGGTCTGTGTTTAGCTGTTTCCCAAAGCCCAGAGCACATAAATTACTGGCGGGGCTTTGGAAGGTGATCAGATTACGGAGCTTGTATCTGATTTGCTGTTAGGAGGTGAGGTCTGATCTGGAAGAGGTGGCCAATGGGGATGTGGCTTGGAAAGGTTTATCCCCTCCCCGGCTCCACCCTTGATCTTTCTCTGCTTCCCTTCCCTCTCCTGGCTTCCTGTCCATCATACTATGAGCAGTTCTCCTCCACCATGCCCCCCCGCCGCCATGCCATTTCTTCTTTGGAACCGGCCAGTCCTGGACTGAAATGTGAGCTCAAACAAACCTCTTCTCCCTTAAATTGTGGGTATCGGGTATTTTGCCCCAGCAGTGAGGAAAGTTACCAAGACACTGACCCTGTGGTCCTCCCCAGCATGACCCTTGCAGCAATCTGCTCCCCAGCCACTGCCTCTCAGACACGCCCAGGCTAATAGCTTGGCAGGGAAGTAACAGAGGGCATGGAAAGGCCTAGGGCAGGCTCTGAGCTCCTCCGGCCTGGGGTGTCCTCAGACTCTGAGCTTATTAGCAGGCTGCCGGGTCGGGATCCAACAATGAGAATGACATCGCCAGTGCGACTCGGTAGCATGGCTGCCCTTCCATTCACACCAGCCAGAGGGGGGCTCTGGTTTGCTTCAGAAAAACAAGAAATTCCAGGAAGGGATTAATGACTTAATTATAAACGCAGCTTGGAAATGTAAAGGTTATTAAGAAGGGGAAAAGATACATGCTAATAAGAGACACGCTATTAACAACAGAATAAAGATTCATTGTTGGCGCCGCTGCTGTAAAGTTTTCCAAGTTTGGTAATAAAAACCACCTGGTCCGCAAGAGGGCTGGCTGCCATGGTGACAGAGCCCGAGCTGGCGCTGTCTAATGAGGCCTGTCTGCCCGCCTCTGATCATGCTCCCCACGGGGCCTGGGCTTCCTGCTGAAATTGCCCAATAGGCCCCAAACCACCCCGGGGAGAGCTGGGCCTGGGTCCATCTGTAGGAAGAGCAGCCCTCTCAGCGCCGCCCACTCTGCCCTCGGTATCCTTGGATCGCCAAGGCGAGTTTGCTCCTGTTTCCAAGGAAACAGCACAGACACGTCCCAGCTGTGTGATCTTGCCCACATTTCTGAGCCTTTCTGAGCCTCGGTTTCTTCATCTATAAAATACAGGAATAATACACCTGACTGTAATACACATTTGAAGTACTCTGCGCAATTGCCTGGCATGGGATCTATTCACCAGGTGGGGGTCCCCAAGCCTCCTTCTTCAGGTACGCCCTCCCCCAGCTTGGTGCCCCCTTTCCCCTGGGGACATTTCTGAGGCCCTTGGAGGAGGCAGTCCCAAAGCTCCCCTGCCCCCAGGAGGACTGTTCTGCCTCACCCTAACCATACTGATCCATCAACACTCCGTGCTGCCTGGACAACTGAGCCTGGGAGAGGGGAGTGGAACTGAAAATAAAGAAAGGTGAGACCCCAACGGGAGGAGACCCAGAAAGGGAGAAAGCAGCGTGGGCGCGGGAGTGCGTGGAGTATGAGCCTCTGCTCCTCACCCTCCTCCTTGGAGTCTCAGTTTCCTCATCCGCAAAGCAATGATAATTTCCTTTGTGGGGTTGCCATGGTGATCACAGGAGGAAGTGCTCACAAGGGTCTGAGAGGCGGCTGGTCCTCAGCATCACTGTCTAAAGCTACTCTTGTCATTATCCCAAGTGCCCTTTGCTGTCCCTGGAGTCTGAATGAGACACCCTGGCATTTGGCTTGGGTTTGCTGCATTTGGTTATGAACAAGAATTTTTTTTTTAAGAGAGCTTTCAAGCCTCCACCCCAGGCATCACCACCCGTCCCAGGGGTGTTCTTAGCCCCATGAGTGCCAAGGCCTGTCGGGGAGATACCTTCAGCCCCAGGCAGGTCAGCCCTGCCATCAGCTACCTCCCAGGAAGGGGGACAGAAGGGAAGGGAGAGAGATTGCATTTAAAATGGGGTAGTAATGAAGAGATCTCCATCTAATTAGACAGGCTGCAGTTTTAATCAGAGTTTCCTTGGCAAAACCTGTTTGCATGTTTTCTGTCATTCAGCCAACATGTTAATTAGGCAAATAATATTAATAATGATATTCGCTTCAGGAAACTTAAAAGGGGTGGGAAAAGGTGGAAGTGACAGTTTGGGGTTGGCAGGCAGGCATAGGAGGGGTTTAAGTCCGTGCGGTGTGAGGGAGCAGAAGGCAGCGGGTCTGGAAAGGGGTGCATCTGGGTGAAGAGCCCAGCTCTTCCCTACTGTTGGCGCTCCTGCTCTCCTCTGAGCCTCAGTTTCCTGATCTGTACTCCAGGAGTGATGCCACGAGGCCATCCTCACAAGCTCTGGGAGGATTAGAGGGGACGTGGACACAGGAAGTGGCCCTTCCTGCTCTCTGCTCTTCACCACCCACCTCCCCTTGCTCCTGGGGCTGCCTTGCCTCAGCAGAGAGGAGGGCACGGGTAGGATGGGAAAGTGGGGGCATCCGCATCCTGGGCCCCACCTCTCTAAGAGTCCCTTACAGGGAGCCCCTCTGTGGACAGTGGCCAGTGGTCCCCAGCTCAGTCTGGGCGCCAGCTCCCCTTTTAGATAGTGGAGCTCCAGGGCTTGGAACAGGGGTCTCCTGCAGGTCCCTCTGCTTCTACCTCAGGTTCCCCAGACCCCACTGGTACCCCAGGTCAGAGGACTCTCCCAGGCATTAGGAACCAGGCCTCACTGCACACCCTCCAGCCTGGTTTCTCAGGGGAGCCCTTCTTTTCTCTCCTGCTCCCACAAAGCCAGAGGCCAAAGCCAAACCTCTGTGGTTCCCTGCTTGGGCCACCTGGGCCAAGATTGTGCACAGCAATGAGGCCATCATTTGGGGGAATCTAAGAGGCCCCACAAAATGTGTTCAGCACTCTAAATAATACTGCAAGCAATGCATTTACAAAGTAAAAGGAACATAGGATTTTTTTTTTTTTTGCAATAAATTGGCCTTCAAGAATATTCCTTCAGGACATCATTTATCCTGATTGCTGAACTGAAGCACCCTTAGGGTTTGCCCCTGAGACCAGTTCCCCACTCACCTCACTCCTGTCTGGTTCTGCTCCTCAACTTGGGCTCTTGAGGCCCTCCTTGACCAGTTCAGGGTCCCCTGCACCATGAACACCCTCAAGCACCCTCAGGGACCCCTGTGAACAGGCTGTCCTGCACAGGCAGGACACCCTGAGGCCACGAAGAGGAGACTCCTTCCCCTTTGAACTCCCGTTGCAGCCTCTCCTCCAGGGCCATGTCCTGGAGGCAGCTCTCTGTTGAAAGGAGGTGAAGAGGTGAACTTTGGGGTGCAAGGAACCCTGGGCCATGAAGGTTGGTTTCCCCTCAGACCAGAGCTGCCCCGAGGATGGAGCCAACCCTCCTGCACGGCCTCAGACATGGGCTCAGGGCCCAGACGCCTCAAACACCAGTGATGCTCCGGCCCCATAGGCCGCCTGGGCTGGGACGCACTGTGACAGCTGCTCACCCCCTGATGCTGCCAGCCGGCCCATCAGGTCCCCTTCCCTTTGGGTTAGGATCCTTCTGGCTCCACACTTACTTAGGTGGCCATTTGTGCCCTTCTTGGGCACACTGCAGTCCTGCCTTGGCCTTGGGATGCTGAATCTGTGGCCACATGAAGCCAGCTGGAGGACTCCCCAAGGCCCCTCTCCAGGATGTGTGGCAGGTCCTCCTGAACCAACACTGTGTCTTCTGGTGGCCACATTGAGGCCAGGCCACATCAGCCAGTGCCCGTCATTTAATCCTCCCAGCGAGCTCAAATGGGGCTCACAACCCCATGTTACAGTGGAGAAAACTGAAGCTCAGAGCCACAAAAGTCACCCACGCTTTCTCAGGTGAGCCATCCAAGAGGGACAGAGAGTGGGGACATGACATCATTCCCTACCATCCTTCCAGCAGGGACCCGTGGTGTCTGAGCTGGTGTGGGTTCATTTTTGATCATGTGACACACAACAGTTGTCATGCTGCCCCTTCTATGGACCAAGAACCTGTGGCTCAGAGAGGTATTGTAAATGATCAAGGTACAGCTCTCCCAGGCCTGCCCCTCTGCATTCTGGGCCAGGGGAACCAGCTGTTGTGGCCCTTGCGGGCTACCATCCACTGTTGCAGAGCATGGACAGCACTGGCTCTAATGCCCTGGCTGTGGCGTGGTGGGGCTGGCACCTCTTCTGTTAATGCCTCCTGCTGGCCCTGGAAAACCCCAACCCTTCCTTGTAGTTTATCTGCAGGGAGAGGCTGCTGTGCTCTTTGAAGTGCAGCCAGAAGGACATGGCCGGTGTCCTCTTGGCTGAGGTCAGACGCACTGTGCACCTCCCAGTCAGTCATGAACAAGGTGATTATGAGCTAATAACTTCTAGTTCAGAGCCCCAGTGAGTCCTGACCGGGAATAACCCCGAAGGTGGCCCAAGGAAAGCGTGGGCGCCGGGACAGCTCTGCTCTGCAGCAACAGGGAGGGATTCGGTGTTGTGGCACAGTGCCTGCGCCTCTCTTGGCCTGCAGTCATTAATCAGGTGGCCAGGTATGTCCCAGGCAGTGGAGGGTCACAGGGGCCTGCATGGGGTGAGAAAGAAGACCAGTCCAGGAACAAGGTGGCCCGCACTCAAGGTCCCCTGAGACTTTGTGACAAAGGGGGCCACAGCTCTGAGGCTGCAGAAGGGGCTTGTTGGTTAGTATGGGGTCCAGGCCCCTGTCCAGGCCACGAATCAGCCCATTCTGTCCTCGCTCGGGCACAATTACTTCCTTCCCCTGCTAATGTTATCTGTATTTTAGACACAGCCTCGATTGCTGAAGGCGCAAAGTCATGGCCCCTCCAAGGTCATTCAAGGTGAGCAAGAACGCAAGGTGGGCAAATCGGGGAGAATGGGGGAGGAGAGGAAGTGGGGGGGCTGCCGAGGAGCCCCGCAGGCTAGGGCATTAACTTGTTATGTAAATACCTTATTCAATTATTCCTCCTCCTCCAACACAGAGGCAGCTAATCACTCATGCCTGGCTGGTTCATGAATATTAAACCTGGCTCCCTCGATAGAGTTTCTGGGTGGTGGGAAACAGTGGTCTCCAGGGGAGAGAAGAGAAAAGCGGCACCAGAAGTCTAGCTTTGGAGGCCGGGTGCTTCCTGGGGCGAGGGGGTGTTGGTGGCTCAGCTCCACTGTATCGTGTAAGGTTAGGACAGTTGTGCACAGAGCCGCCAGGCACCTGTGGGGGTGTGGGGCCACCCGGCTGGGCTGGGACTGGCTGTGCAACTCGTGATTCAATTTATCTGGGCCTCAGTTTCCTCATTTGTCAAATGGGAGAGCAGCATCTACCTTAATGGCGGTGGTGATGTGTGAGTCTGGTATCTAAAGTGTGTCTGCCCCGTGTGTGCAGTTGGGAGTTCCGCACTGTCTGACCCTGTCTGTGGGACACAGGACCATCAGGGAGCTCCAGGCCTTGTTTCTAGGGTGGTCCACAGAAGAGGGAGGAGCCTACAACCCAGAGTGGGGCAGGGAAGGGCCCCCTAGCCTGGGGCTGGTGTTGAGGGCTTCCAGACAGAGGTGGGCTTGGCATGGACTATAAAGATGGCATTGATTGATTTGGCATGGATTTATTGAGCATCTATTGTGTGCCAGGTACTTGACAGAAGAGCCACTAGCAGAGCCTTGTCTTGTGGTTGTTTTAAGCTACTAAATTCTTAAGCAGTGTGTTACATCGAAGTAGATGACAAGAGTATTTATTGCAACAGAGTAAGACTGACAGACAGATAGCAACAAATAAGTCATTAGTGTCTCCAGTGATGAGAAAAGCTAAAAGGAAAATTGAGTGTGTGTGTATGTGTTTTATTAGTGTGCCCAGGACATACTCACTGAGGAGACAACATCTGACCAAAGACCCATGAGAGTGAAGCAACACCCCGATCTGGAAGAAGAGTGTTCTAGGCAAAACAGCCAGTGCAAAGGGCTTGGGGTCAGAAACATGCCTGGCTTGTGGCTGGGGTGGGGAAGTAGCTGCCTAGTGTGCACAGTGGTACCTTGTCCTCAGCAACAGTGCCCTACCAGGGCCACATGGTATCTGGTTTGAGCCCCCTACCCCCCCCCCCCGCTGTGAACAGGAATCATTCCCTATGGTTGGCACTCCCATTCTCCACCCTCAGGAACTGAGGGCCAGAGGGTGAGGGGCCCAGAGGCCCGCAGCACGGGTGGGAGAGCCAGGTGAGCCATTCTCTGGCGCCGAGGCCAGACTCTCTCGCTGCTTCTCTTCTCCCTTTCCTGCCTCTCCCTCCCCTCCTCCACCTTGTCTCCTTCCTCTCTCCTTCCCTTCGCTCCTCTCTTTTCATTTTTCTGTCCTTCTGGAGCACCAGATCCCCTGCCCTAACTCCAGCATTGTCCCCTGGAGCCCGCCCGCCAGATGTGGTCACCCCATTTTGAAGCTCCCAGCATCAACTCCTTGAGCAACCCTAACCCTATTTCCTTTACACACTGCCAGCCTCAACGGCAAGGTTAGGTCAACAGAAAACAGAATAAGACACCATGGAAATGCTTCATTGTTTGCTTAGGAGACAAAGAACAGGCAGAAGTTATTATAAGAGACTTCAAAGAACACCCCCAAATTGATCAACCTTACCAATAACTATGGAAAAGAAAAAGGAAATAATAAAAAGATGCTTTCATCAATGTGTCTGGAAAAGAGTTATCAGACTCATAAAATATTGGGAAGGGGGAAAAGAAGTGAGACCAAATCTATTTTGAGAGGCACATTGGCCAAAGAGGATAGCTGTAAAATATTCATGTCTTCCATCCAGCAACTCTACCTCTGTGCACTGCCACATCTGTTGCAAACATATTTGTTGGTGTGTTGTTTGCGACTGTTGAAAATTAGGCAATTCCTAAGTGTTGATTGATGTAGAATTTGTTAAATTAATTAAATGGAGTATTACAGAGTTGTGAAAAAGAATAGGATATTTTTCTGTCAAGTGGCATAAAACAAGGGTAAGATACTGTTCATTTGGGGAAATGTCACAAAATAGTGTGTATGGAACAGCTATACTTTTATTTCAAAATATATACTTATTTTTATTTACTTATGTGCTGACTTCACACCTGAATTTAAGCCCAGCAGGCCATTAGCTTGATATTTTGAGAGAGGGTCACAGGCCTAAAGACTTTTCATCTTTTTATGCTGTGATGTTTGAATTTTTTTTTACTATGTTTTCTTAATATTTGAAAGCAGAAGAAAAATGTAGAGAATGAATAAGTCATGAATTACAAAAGAAAGAAAAAGAAACAGGGTCAGATTGGCGAAGGCGAAAGTACTGTAAGAGGGAGGAGGAACTCAGGGAGTTGGCGGCCAGTGACAGTGGAGCCATCATGCAGGGCAGGGACACCAGCAGCTGTCTGGGGTGGCCAGGGAGTGTGAGAGGTGAGGAAGTCCCCACACAGAGCAGGATGGGCTCAGAGGGGAGGTCCCCAAAGCCTTCCACGGGGCAGCCTGTGTAAGTGGAGACGGATAGAGAAGGAAAGTCATGCTGGAAGTGGGGAGGCCACCTGGGCAGCCCCGAGGTACGGGGTGGAGGAGCACAGACCCTGGGGACCGCCTGGCCCCTTGGTGCAGTGGGATCAGTCCTGAGAACCTCGGTTCTCCCCAGACCCTCAAGTCCAAATCCCTGAGGATTGGGTCGAGGAACTGCATTTGAACCCACTGCTGCTAGGCATGCTCAAATCTAAGGAAACAACAGTTTAGAGATTATCAAGCCTACTCTTCTGTTTTCAAATGGAGAAACTGAGGCACTAAGAGGCTGAGCCACTTTGCCCAAAGTCGCCTGGTCTGCATGCAGAGCTCAGCTAGCAGTCAGGTGTCCTGGAGTGTCCAGAGCCCTGGATCTTTCCATTCTTTCCAGCTGGGCTATGGAGGCAAAGGGTCTCTGGGGCCTCCCAGGCATTGAGACCTCTGCAGTCGACCTCTCGTCCCTGCCTCCCAAGCAGACCCTGGGTGGGGGTGGCACTTGTAGGGCTCAGACTCAAGTGCTTGCCTCTCTTCTCGTTTCCCTTTACTCAGTTTCCCTAAGTCAGTGCAGAGCAGACTGTGGCAGAAACATCATTGGCTCGGCTCTGAGTCTCCGTGGGTCCAGTGCTCACAGTCACGTCAGGTCTTCCTGCCCCAGTCCACCCCTTGGTGACCTAACACGAGTGACGGTGGTGGTCACGGTGTGGGATTCAGCCACAGGCCAGCCCCTCTGCTCAGCCCTCTCCCTTCCACTGGCGGCTGCCAGGCTGCGGTGTGGAAGTCACAGGGGAGATCACCTGGTTCTGTCCCTCCTCATCCCCTCCAAACTCACTATTTATGGCCTCTGAGGCTCAAAAAGCCAAGAGCTGTCTCTGTCACTCATTGGCTTCACAGCCAGGAGCCTCACTGCAGGGGTCTGGCTGGAGAACAAGCCAGGGGCTGGGAGCAGGTGACACGCATGAGCCAATGCTCTGGGACATGAGCCTTCCTCCTGGCTCCGGGATGCTCCTGGCCCACGTTGGCCCCAGCAGGACCCCCCACACCTCTCTGAAGGCCCTGGGTCAGACCCAGGGCTACCTCTTCCAGCAGAGCCTGAATTGCTCTGCTAGTCTGTTCACCTTGCTATTTCACAGTCTGCTAGGTGTGCAAAGCACACGTATGTATGTGTGAGTATGCACACCTGTGAGCACACATACATGCACATTCTTACACTGCAGGCTTCGAGCTTCCTAGCTGCACCGGAGCCTGACCAAGTGTCGCCTTTGCCGGTGGTCGGTGTATGATGGAAGCAGCCGCCCAGGTGTCAGGTCAAACCTGGTGACTGTAGTTCCGGGGAGTCAGTGCCTATTCTGCCCTCGGTTTCCCTATTTGCAAAGACAGGAAAGAAGGCCCTGTCTCTGCGGGGCCTCAAGGGTGCATGATTTATCTAAACATAGCAACACAACTGTACCTATCTCAAATCCTGATTCCCCCCTCCCAGCCCCAGCTCTGGGGTGGGGAATTGAGAATTCAATAAATATTTAGCTGACTGATGTAAGCACAGCATAAAAGTCACTGAAAGGGACGTTAAGCTTCTAAGAAACACTGGAGCCATCCATGGTATCTCTTGTGAATTCACTCAGAGGGCAGCAAGCATAAATAAAGTAGGCAGCCGATTTTTTTTCTCTTTAAAGTCAAAGACCCATAAATCATGCATGTACAAATTCATTTCATAATTAACATCACTGGGTATATGTCTGTGAAAGTTGTGTTTCAGCTGGGTGAGATGTTCTGCTAATTAAAGGCTTATTTTGTGATGGGAATCATTTTGTGGAAGCAACTGCATTCGCACTAGTTTAGATTTTTTTTTTTTTAAATGACCCACAGGCTCTGGAAAGTGAGTCAACTGATAGCGTGCAGCAGCTCATGGCTTATTAGGCAGCAACACTGTGCACACCCCAGAGCTTCCATTTTCCAACCCAGCCAGTGGGAAGTGTGTTCTCGAAGCCACAAAGAACCCACGCAGAGAGCGCCGCAGAGCAGAAGGAAACCAGCGGGTAGCAGAGATAACTGCGTCCAGAGAGGGAGTGGGATCTGCCCAGAGCTGCCCAGCAGACCAGCAGAACCCAGTTTGAGAATGTCATGTTTTGATCATCCCCTCTGCGGGCCCCCACACAACACACGCCCACTGGCCTTAGGTGTCCCAGGAGGGGCCCTGGATGTGGCTGCTGCTTTACCTCGAATGTAGAGACGCTCAGTAGGTAAGCTGCTCACCGCTTTGCTGAGCACTCCCCGGAAGCAAGAAAATTGGAAAGAGACAGCTGGAATGGAGTCTTAACTATTTTAATAATGTTCGGGACCATGGCTGTTGCCAGGAGATTAGCAGGGAAATCTAACGGTGTGTAATTTTCCCTAAGAATTCCATTAACAAAATCAAATGGGCAGGCAGAGGTGGGGAGGATGGCGAGCTATCTGGAGGTTTGTGTGGGAGGGGTTTCTAAGCGCCAGCTCTCAGCAAACCGCTGCGATGGGAAGTCCAGGCTCCTTGACGCCTTCTCTTTCCCAGCCCTGAGGGGAGGCAAGGCAGTAAAGACAGCATGGGGACTGAGTTCGAATCTCCAGCCATTCCCTTCCTCACCATGTGGTTTTCTGCAAGCCTCAGCAGGTGTCAGTTCCTTGCCTGGAATGAGGGATGACCACGACCACCCAGGACTGCCCTGAGGGTCAGATGTGATGGGCTATAGTGGCCCACACAGTACTTGGGCAGAGTGGCCCTACAGAAATCACCAGTCACTGGTCACCTCTTCAGATGTCCACTCCTAGGCCCGCCCAGGCTCAGACCATTCTCTCCTCTTTCCTCAGTTTCTACAACTGCAGCAACCCCTCTGCATGGTGGGCCAGAGCCAGGTGCCAAGGACAATGCCAGAGAAAGGAAGACATGACACAGTCCTTACCCTCCAGGTCCTTGGAGGTGGGAGGCCCAACTCGGACATTCACTTTTTTTCAGCCCAGCTACAGATTTAAGATGCTAGAGACAGAGTGTGATCTTGACCACTAACACATGGTCCTATGTCAAAAACCCTGGGAGGAAGGGGTTGGTGTGCCCATTTTACACATGGGGAAACTGAGGCTCAGAGAGTGTTATGATTTATATCGAGAAGTCCCCCAAGCCTCATGTGTCATAGGCAGGGCTTTTGAAAGGTGACTGGATCATGAGAGTTTCTAGCTGACTTGCTTTCAGGAGGCAGAGCCTGGTCAGAAGAGGTGGGGCACAGGCAGTGTGACCAGGAAAGGCCTAACTCCCTCCCAGCTCCTCCCCTGAAACGCCCTGCTTTCTGGGCCCCATGCCCTTAGCAGCTCTCCTCCACTATGCCCATGGCCACACCATCTTGCGTTAAGCCAGCCAAATGTAGACTGAAGCTCCAGCCAATAGGCCTTTCCTTCCTTATATTGTGGATGTTGGGTATTTTGTCCCAGCAGCATGGGAAGTGATTAAGACAGAGATTGCTATTTGCCTGAGGTCACACTGCTAGTCAGTAGCAGAGTTTAAAACAGAGCCCAGGATTTGAAACTCCAAACTCTTTCCCCAATACCCCTTACTTGTGTCTGTCTCCTCCCTGCAGTTGCGCTAATTTTCTTCCAATTTTGTATTTGGTTTGGTCGTGCACCATCAGTTAGACAGGAAGTTCCTTGAAGGTAGATGCTCCTTGTGCCTTCTCTCTGCCTTCCATGGACACAGAGCACATAGTAGGTGCTCCAGTGACCTTCTAGGACCAAGTGGACAGAGACCCTTAGTGACACAGTCTCCTCAATACAGCCTTAAGATTCTTAGACTTGTCCCTGTCCCTCATCCTCTAGTCCACACACACACACACACACACACACACACACACTCCCTGCAAAATCTAATAACAACCAGTTTAAAAACACACTAAAAACAGAAAATTTATGTAGCATGACCCAAATTGAATTATACATTACAGCACTATAATTGATTTTTTAGAAGAGAGATTAAATTTATTTTATGCCTCACTAACTAACAGCTAGATTTACCTAATTGCTTGGAGTGCGGAGTTAGTATGATTCATTAAACTCCATACATGCTTGGGTACGCTGCACACTGAGTAAAGCTTCCTGCTCGCAGCAATTAACGAGGAGAAACCAGGCCGCTCCAGTAATTGCTGAGAACAATGCTGCCCCAAGTTTGCTTCGAGTGTTTTATTCAGTTCTCCGTGCAAAATGCAGATATGGTGCCTTCTGGTAAAGCTGCTCTGACAAACTGGAGGCAACTAATACTCTTTCTCTCCCTAATTCTGCTACGGTGGAAAGTGGAAGACAGAGAGAAAAGGGGAAGAGGAAAAATGGAGGTCTTATCTTGGTTTAATTACATCAATCATAACAGTTCTTTTAAAAATCTCACCATCATCTGACAGCAAGCAGGCAAAGTCAGCCAGGCTAACAAAGAGTGAGTTTGGGTAGATCAGGGAGTGCTCGGTAATTATATACACATTATCAAAAAGGTAGCAATTTAGGAGAACTGGAAAAAAATATGCTAATTTTGATAGCAAGAGAAAATTATAACTCTCTGAGCCATTTATTTATTAATTATTAGTAGTAATAAAGAACATTTCCAAGTGGCATCCATTCACATAATAAGTGTGATTCCCGTCCTCGGTGCACATGCCTGTCTGAACGTGTCTACAAGTTCTACATTCTGATTTTTCACACAGACTCTCAGGACCAGGGAGATGAATGTTTTGACTGGTCCATCTATGAAGTGAGGTATACATTTCTCCATCCCTATCATCCTTTCCATTCCAGGCTTTTGCAGTTATGGAAACGGAACAAAATGCATTTGTATCCCCTCCCCAAATCTCTAGGGTGCCTGTGCCCTGTATTTTGGGGTTGGAGCAATTCGCTTTGCTCTTAGAGAGGCATTTAAGAATATAAAAGTGTCAACCATGGCTTTCATCTTCTAGGAGTGGACAATAGACTCGGGGAGGCAAGATAAACTGCACATCAATTATGATACCCACTTTCCTGTCCATGCGGAGCTCCCAGAGTATGGACCTGGACATCTCACAGCCTGCCAAAGCTGACTGGGCTAAGGATGGACATGTGACCCCACAGACCAATCACAGTCTTTCTTCTGGGAATCTGGAATTGAAATGACAACCACAGAGATCAGTGGTTATTTGGAGTTGAGGCACATGGAGGTGGACACTGCAGGGTGATGTTCTACCAACTCCTTCTTCTGAGGTCTCCAGAGCTACTTAGGCCTGGAGGTTCTGCTCCTCCATTAATTCTGTAGATGCCCCAGGATCTTTCCCTCAAATCTTCCTTTTGGCTCGAGTCACCTAGAGTCAGTTTCTGTTACTTGTACCCAAATCAATGTGGCAGAGCCTGGCTGGAGGCAGCAAACACCAGCCATGCCATGACCTGGGAGCATCCCTGCCTCTGTGTCACAGACACTTGGTCATGCAGGGTCTGTGCTGGTGCACCAGTCCCTTGAATCGACACAGCTCTTCAGGGCAGCCTCACTTGACAGATGGGGAAACTGTGGTGCAGAAAGCCCAAGTGACTGCCCTGATCCAGAGATCTACAAAGTAGCAGAAGCAGGACTTGAACTTGGGCCCACCTGATACAAACAAAACTCAAATGTTTTCCTCTGTGACAGCTGATGGAATTGACCCAGGGAGGCTCTGGAAGCATATACATATATATGTCAGTTGCAAGGGAAATAGATTTAATACAGGATGCATAATTTATAGGATTATTTTATGTTATTTTTTGGTATTGGGAATTGAATTCAGGACTTTGCACTTGCCAGGCAGGCATGGTGCCACTGAGCTATGTTCCCAGCCCCAATATAGGATTATTCTATAATAGTCACCCAAAAAGTCAAATGCAGAGTAGTGCACACTAGAGACCCAAAGAATCTAGCTGAGGGCCTGGATCTCACAGCAGTGTCCCACACAAGTCCAGCTGAAGGCCTAGAATCCACGGCAATGTCTCATGCTTGTCTGTATGGAAGATCTGCATCAGGAAGGCCCAAAGGTCAGTGATGGAAGCTAGAAAGCCAGCGCCAGCAGGGTGAGGGATTTGTGCACCAGGCTGAGGGATCTACAGTGGAGCCAGGAAGTGATGCTCATGGCAAAGATCAGAGCTCCCCTGATGAGAACAGCAGCCTTTCTCAGCAACAGCAAGGACCCGAGATCCTTCTCTGACAAGAACAGCCAGGTTCACATCAGGAAAACCAACCGTAGCAAGCTTCTAGAAAATCAAGAGCCCATGGTGTTCACCTCCAGTTCTCTTTCTATGCCATTGGCAACAGTCCTCAGGTGGGTCTTCCACACCCAGACCATGCTGATTCAGTTCAGCTGAGCGTTCCAAGTTGACCATTAGTTAATCCACCACACACACACACACACACACACACACACACACACACACACAGAGGTTTTGAGGGATCCTGGAAGTCCAGGCATGCTGAACTCTATGACTCTGCGGTTTGATGCATCTGGGGTCTGAGCTTGTGTCTGAGGCTGTGTGAGGGAAGAGCTGGCCCTGTCCTCACAGAGCCTCTGGTCAGAAGGGAAACCAAGCTTCACGGCCTGGGGCTCCTTGCATCCGACATCCATCTGTTCATGGCCCTAGAAGAGAGGCCTTTGCCCCTGGAAACCCTGTAATGGGTTCCTGAGGGAAGAGACTTGCCCACATACTGGGTAAGCACCCATGGCCCCTCGGTGTTCCACCTGTGTGGTGCAACCACTGGGAAATGCAAAGGCACAGCCCCCTATCTGAGGATCCTCAAGGATGCTCACAGTACAGAGGGACCTCAAACTGTCAGGGAACTGGTCAGGGATGGCCTTGAGGGCCAGGGCTGATGCCTTGATAAAGCAAGACAGGAAAACCCCTGAGCTGGGGGCCTGAGACCCTGCCTGGTGCCTCTTTCTTGGAATCTATTGGTGTGGCACTTTCTCGCTGTGGGCCTCAGTTTCCCCACTGCAGATGGAAAGGGGAGGCAGGAAGCCTCAGGCCTGGCTCTAGAACAGTTTGATCATGCAGACTTCCCGAGCTAGGCACTGAGAGCCCTCGCAGGTGTGCAGAGGAGTCTTCTCTCTCTGCTACCAGCCCCGGGTTCCCCCACTTGGCCATGTGGATACTGAATGACCATTTCCCTCCTATCTGCTCCCTCCTCAGTGGCCCACACCTGGTGCTGAGGATGGAGTGTCGGTCAGATTCAGGGCAGCAGGAGAGCCAGCCAGCCAGGTCCATGCAAACAGCTCTTGGCCTTGGCCCTGCCTCTCGGGTCAGCCCTCTGGTGGAGGGGTGTCTGTGTCTGCTGAGCCTGGGGTCTGCACAGTAGCAAGCCATCTCTGTCCCTCTCCCATGGAGTCAGAGAGCAGTGTTTCAACAAGGCCTCCTAATGGGAGGGCAGGCGGCCTCTGCAGTGTCCTGTTCGTCTTGCTGTGACAGCCAGCCCAAAGCCATAGCCCTGCCTCCTGGGCAGTCTCTCAGTTCCCCCACCATGGCCACACTAGCCACAAGACAGCCAGCTGGATCCTACAGCAGCGAGGCACGCTCCAAGCCGCCTGTTTAGGAAATGTTGTGGACATGCAGGGGAAGCCTGTCGGGTCAGCATCCTGAGGGCCTGAGTTCTGCCTGTACCCAGGGACTGCCAGCGGGACACACAGCTCACCCTGCCATCACCATCCAGTCTAATCAGGGAAACCTCTGGTTCAGAACCAGTGTTTCAGCAACGGAACCTGGATCTTTGCTCCTTCACTAAAAATCAGCAGGATTCTGTGTTTTAATGTAACTGACCCAAAGCTTAGTTAGGGTGAGGCCCTTCAAGTCAACCTGTGAGTTTCTCAGCGTTCCTTAGAAGATGGAGGAGTCCCTTCCCCACATCCTGGTTCTCCAGGGTCTAACTAGAATTCCTTCTTCTCTCTCTTCCTCTCTCTCTCTCTCTCTCTCTCAGGGCCTTTGTACACCTCTAGCCCTTTTTTATTGTAAGATAAGGTCTTGCTAAGTTGTTAAGTTGCCCAGGCAGGGCTCAAACTCATGAACCTTTGAGTAGAAGGAACATTCCAGAAGTTTCTTTCATCTTGCCTGGCATGTGCTTGAGCTAGGATTGAGGCCAAAACATCAAAACAGAGGGGCTCAGACAACACAGACAGGACAATGGCAGCTTCTATCTCTGTTGAGCTGCCCTGTCCCTTGGGCAGTCTCACCTTCAGCTTTGTCCCCTGTGAAGCAGGTATGACACCTCCCCCAAAGCCACCTCCACCAGCTGGGGGCCTAGGTGTTCTGGTGTTGACCCCCATGGGCTTTCCTTACCACTGCCACTGCCACCGCATTCAGGCAGAACCGCAGCAAACATGGCAGGCCCAGAGGACCGGAAGTGGTGCAACTGACTCTGATTTCAATGTGAAATCACTGGGACATGAAGGCTTTTGTGCTGTCGCACACCTGGGAAGGTGCCTGAATGGGGAGCTTTTCTGTGTGAAATCAAACCTCGCTCCCTGTGCATTAGCATTGTGGGCACAAAGAGTTGTTGGTGGCATAAACAAACCTGAATCACCGCTGAATGGGGTAAATTTAAGACATAAATTCCACATTTCCTGCTCTCAGGATTGGCATCATTGAAATCCATTTGCTCTCAAAGAGGAGACAGCTAAGAGTTGAAGTAACATTTAAAGAGAGTCTCAGGAATCTATTTTGTCCTTCAGTCCTCGGTGGAGGCATGGTAAGAAAGATGTCTAAATTGGCCCTATTTATATCTTTCTAAAGGCAGTTTCTCCTTTCTGCAGAAGCTCCAGCCTTGTAAGCAATAGTTTGGGGGAAAACTTGGGGAGGTCGTTGATGACTGCCCAGAAACTTGGGGGCGCCTTTTGATTGGGAAAGCAGGGAGGGGGCAAGAAATGAGTAGCTATCAAAAGAGGTTTTATCGAACTTTTGCTAGCTAATGAGTGCATTTAATGGGAACAGCTTTGAGTGTCAATGCCACATAATGCTAATTTAATCTAGTTGGCTGGGTTTCTGTGGCTTTCAAGGAGGAAAGAAAGGAAGACCTGCGTGAGCCATTAATCACTCTGTCTTTAGCCAAACTTCATTTAAAATTTCACCGTGTTCCCTAAACTGCGCCAAGGGACCATGTCATGTGCTTCATGAGTCACTTGTAACCAAATCTAAAACAAGCAGGGGACTCAGGCTTCCTTCCTCCTATTTGGACTTTGAATTTCTGGTTACACGTGATTCAGAGCCACGCTGGGGCCTGATGAAATTATAGTGGCAGAGACTGGTCACTGGGTGCCTACTGCATGCCTGGCCACATTCTAAGAGCTTGAGGATGTGCAGATATTTAGTGGCACTTTATAGAAGGGGAAACTGAGGCTCAGAGAGATTAGGCAGCTTGCCCACAGTGGTCATTATGGTTGAAATGGAGCTCCACACCCTCTCCTGCTTGATGGAGTCTACAGTCCATACCAGTGATGGGGAACCTATGGCACATGTGGTGTAGCTAGCTGTTTGTTATTGAAAGGTTCACTACCACTGGTCCAGACTCTTCATCAGTGAGCCCAGAAACCAGAACCCAGAGCCAACCAAGTTGGTTCCGATCACCTCCCCACCCCACCCCAGAATGTACCTACCTCTCTGCCCCTGCCCACCCAGGAAGCCATGCTCTGGGCAAACACACAGGACAATGCTCTGCACACCATTAATGTTGCCCTCTCAGTCTGGGTGTGGATCTCAGTGCAGAGCTATTCTACAGCTGGGAAAACTGAGACCAGGGAGGTTAAGGAATATCAGCCACAGTTCAACAGCTGTGCGGGGGCGGGGAGGGGGGGGAGTCCACGCAGCTGGTTGCTGTTGACACTGGGGTTGATGCATGGCTGTAGAACCAAGCTCCCTGTTCTTTCCTTCCTTTCTATTGAGGAAGAGAGATTATTTCATGACCTGTATTTGACAGAAGGCTAGATGGAAGCCATCAAATGGAGATGCCCCTCTGGGCTCCTTAGATCAGGGACATTTCATGTATGAAGCTGGATAAATGGAAGCAGCACAAATTGACAACAGCTGACCATGAGTGTCATTGCATACACAACACACACCCTTCCAGGAAGCATTGATGGAGCTTTAAATAGAACATGGGCTATTGAAGAATGGTGCATTTATCTTCCTTTGTTCCTTCTTCCCTCCTTCCCTCCCTTCCTTCCTTCCTTCCTTTCTTCCATCCTTTCTTGGTCTCAGTGTCGGTATTAGGATGTGGGGGCCTTTGGGAGGTGATTAGGTCATGTGGGTGGGGCCCCTATAAAGGGGATTAGTACCCTTGTAAAAGCAGCCCCATGGGACCCTCACCCATCCACCATGGAGGCCATAGCACGAAGGCTCCACCTACAAGTCAGAAGTGGGCCCTTGCCAGACACCTTGACCTTCAACATCTAACTTCCAGAACTGTGAAGAATAAATTTCTATTGTTTTTAAGTTATCCCCTTTACAGCATTTTGTTATAGCAGTTCAAACAGTTTGAGGACTTTTCCTTTCTTCTTAATTTCTCTTTCTTGTTTGCTTCAGTGCTCGCTCTTTCTTTCTTTCTTTCTTTCTTTCTTTCTTTCTTTCTTTCTTTCTTTGAGGAAGCTGCGGGATGGACATAGTAATGTCTTGCTTTTCTGGCTTTGTGCCAGGATTAGAACACAGACCTACCCAGCCCTACCCTGGAGTTCAACCCAACTACCTGTGTCCCTCCCCTCCTGTGTTATGTGCTCTGGCTGGCTTTTCTGTCCTTGCAGTAGCAGCCATCTCTGCCGTAATCGACACCTGCACACCTCACTGGCCTACCGGACTTCAGTCACTCAAACATTGGGCCCATCTTTCCACCCAGAAGAAATTCTCTGAATGGAATTTTGTATTGATCTAAAAGCCAGATTCTGCACATGGAACCAATAGCATTCCAGGCTGTCTGGTTCCACTCATGAGCTAAGTGTTACTTAAGATCCGTGTTCCAGTTCCAGTCTGGCTCTAGTGAGGATGTTCTCAAGCTGAAGAATTTCAGAGTGAAGCCAGGGACCCTTGGGCCTGTTGTTGGGTCCATCCCTTAGCAGTCTCCCAGACTGTGGTGGCATCCTGCTGCGAACACTGCCTGGGACAGGTAGGGAGGCTGCAGATAAGACTCACCAAAGCCTGGTGGCCTCCGTGAGGGGCCAACTCTCTCAAACTTGGACGGGACCAACCCAGGCTTGTGGCTCCCGTGCTCCCTGCACCAGCCCCATATTGGACACTGTGTCCTCTCTATGGTGAACTTGCCATTGTACCCTTTGCAAAGGCTGAGAGGGGAGAAGGGAGAACAACCACACCTTTTTCTGATTGGAAGCCTTTCCAAAACATAGAGGGGCAAGGGGACTTTCTCATGAGAAGGCTAAAAATACCCAGATTGGGGAATGCAATGAAACCCGGTGATGAGGTCCTGGAGAGGAGAGGGCTCCCTGTCCTCCGGAACATTTGCTTGTCTGGTGTCTGGGTCAGCACTTACAGGCTGCCCTGCCATTGCACCGAGGCAGGGGAGCAGGGACCTGGCTTCCGGCCCCTGGGTGAATTTCCTCTGTCCTGTGCTAAAAAGGTAGGTGGATAAGGACTCACTTCTAGGCCTGTGCGGGACAGGGCCTCAGCTCTGCTCCCCAATTCCCTGCCCTTTGTCCCCACAAAACTCCTAGAAATGAAAAACAATTTCCTACAAGCAACCAGAGACCCTCTGCACCCCGGCCCCACTCTGTATCAGCCTGGTTCCATGCCCTAGCATCCTTCCCAGGGCTCTGCTCCAGTGGCCCCCAGTCCCGCCTCTCCAGCAGCTCAGCCCCACCTCCTCCCCTCTCTGCAAGCCTTCCAGTTACCATCCATCCAGCACCTTCTCCATGCCACCTACAACCCTCAGGAGCACAGGTTCCCACTGGGATCACCCAAATCCACCATGCCCAGGCCTCTGCCTGTGCTGTCCATGAACAGGTGCTATCCATGGACAAGGGGAAGCCGCTAGGAGCAGATGTCTCAGGTGGGAGCTGAGCCCCAGCAAACCTCGTCTGGCCTGATGCCTGGTCCAGACGCTAGGACACTCCTGGCTCTTGCTGTGATCAACTCTTCCAGGAGGAATTGTCTAGAGAGTCTTGAAATAGCTACCAATGCTATGGATTGCATTTGCACTTGGGCAGACAGGCCGTGGGGGTTCCCAGCGTGCAAGTGCCCCAGCCTCAGGCCAGGTCACAGATGGCAGAGCATCTCCCTCCGGAAGGTCTGGCTCTTCACAGAGGTGGCTGGGACCCTCCCCACATGCTCTTCCTCATGGGCTGCCAGGCTGCTCAGGGCCAAGTCCACGGAAGAACATGGAGTTGGATATGTGGACAGATGCAGGGAGAGTCCCTGCTGCATGCCAAGCACAGTGTTACATCTGGGGACACAGCAAAGGGAAAGACATTGACCTCTGGAAGAGCTGAGTCCAGCATGATGCTGCCCCGAAAGGCAGGGGAAAGTGCTGTTGGCCAGTCTGGGCATCCTGGAGGGCTGCTCAGAGAAGGCAGCGTGGAAGCCAGAGCTGAATGTGTCAATGACTGGTGGCCAGAGAGAGCACTGTACAGAAAGGCTGGACACACTTCTGTACGCTGGAGCACAGGACAATAGGGAGGGGTAAACTGAGGTTGAAGCCACACTCCGGCAAAGCCAAGTTCAAAGCAGGCGCCAAGAATTACTCACCCTGAGACCTGAGAGGGCATCTTTGTCTCCTTGAGAGTTGGTTAGCTCAGCTCTGCAAGAAAGACAATGGTTGCATAGGGTTGCTGTGGTGACCAGCTAAGTGCCTACGTGGTGCCAGGCACGCAGCAGGGACTGGGCATCCCCACCGCAACCCTTCCCATGCCCTACTCCTGACCCTGCAGGGTCCATCTGTCCCAGCCTGTCTGAGTCCTGTGGGCGCATAGACAGGCCACAGTGCAGCTGATGGCCCTGAGTCTGTGCTGAGTCCCAGGGTCCCTGAGCCCCCAACCCAGCACCCAGCCCTCCTGACCTTCGGGAACCTTGCTGTGGCCTGTCCCCTGCCTAACCTGCCCCTGCCCCTAATCATTCAGAATTATTTTTACTGCCAAAAACATTTACAGAAAGAGATATTTACAGAAGGAGAAATGGGTACAGCAATGCAAGTGTCCATCTGGGTCCCCCGCTTGGCCCCTCCCCCCCACAGCCCCCCCCTCCAGCCATGGTGGGGTGACACAGAATTCCTGGCTGCAGGGATCTCTCATACTTTGCAGACAACAGAAGACACTTGCGCATGGCCCCAGGACTCAGCAGAATGGTCTTGGGGACGGAGTTTGAAATCTAATTCTTATGCCCCCAGTCTCCCATAAGCTCATACACTGAGAATTCTCAAGATTTCTAGGGTTTTGGTTTTCTGAGCTCAGTTTGCAGCCCTGCCCACCCCACCTATATGCTGTGTGTCTTGGGGCTCATTTCTTCACCCAGCATCTCCATTTTACCTGCCCTTCCTGATGCCCCACCCCCACCCCAAAAGACAGGATGCTCAGCAAATGTGAATTTCAGGTAAACAATAAAATTGTCTTGTTTTCAGTGTAAGCGTACCCCAAATTGCATGGGATAGGCTTACACTGGAAAAAGATCTTCCTTTGTATCTGAAATTCATGACAAAGCAGGTAAGCTCGGTTTTGTCTGGCAACCCCATGGGCAGGTTTTCTGAACAGCCAAGAAGAAAAAGGGGCAGAAGTGAACCCCAAGAGAAGAAGGCAGGATGTGAGGTGACACGGGACAGCAGGAGGGGGCAGGGAGGTGGAGCTTGGGGGGACAGGCCTCGCCTCTTCTACAGCTGCTTCTCCTTTCACCGCCTCCTCCAGCGACTGGCAGGGCAGGCATGCGGGCACGTCTCAGGAACCTGAGTGTGCTCTCTGAAATGTCAGCAGAAATAAACCTGGCTAATCCTCCACGATGGCCTGTCACATTAATATCCTTGAAATTCCAAGCGGATTAAAATAACCACAAGCATGACACCATTTGGAAGGCCGGGGATTTACTTGGAAGCGGTGGCCCATTGGCGAGCATTCCTCTAATTGCTGCTTCGTATAAATAGAGAGTTCTTTAATATCACCACCAGCCCTGGCTGACAGATTTAGATCGGAGCTGTTGAAGTCATTAGTGCCCAGGCCGTGGTAAACCGAGGCTCCATAAAGGGCTGTAAATGGGATTCTCGAGGGCCAATCAATCTTACCAAAGCCGCCCGCACTGCTTGTTGATCTGCAAGGTCCTGAGTGGCTACAGCTTCCCAGAAATGTGCTTGCATCTGTCAGAATTATAAGCAGCTGGCAGCTGACACAAAGGTCATATTTGCTGCTAGTGTGGAAATAGAATCTCCCCAGTACAAGCAATGCTACTTAGCAGTATATCAATTGCAGGCGGGTCGTTAAAGGAGGGTGTGTGTGTGTGTGTGTGTGTGTGTGTGTGTGTGTGTGTGTGTGTGTGTGTTACAGCTTGGGTTGCCTGGAAATCATTTTCCCTGTAGGTCCATGCAGGGCTTAATATCAGGCACTCAGATGAATAAAATTAAATAGCAATTAGTTTCCAGAGAACTTTGTAGCATTATCTTCTTATGATACTTTCCCTTCTGCCACCTAGGAAGCACTGTGTGCTCCTGCTTTCCCATGTGCTGTTCCAGACACAGTACACAGACTTGGCTGTGTGGCTTCGGATGTGTTACTGGCCTCTCTGATCTTCAGGCTGATCATCTTTAAAATGGAGATGAGAACACTTACTTGGGATAACATTGAGCAGAGTGACGAAACCAAGTTCCTGAAGTGCTAGGACAAATGCTGCTTGGTGTGCAGTCGCCAGTAATGTGCTTCTAACTCCCATCAGATGGCCATCCAAGGAGAAGGCAGTAGAGGAAGGGAGGGAGCCAGAGAAAGATAAGGCAGATGTGGAGGTGGTGAACACATTGTCAGCACCCCATGAGAGGTGACTACAGATTAGATCACTGCATCTAAAGCTGGGGACTCAGGCTCCCTGTGAGGGGCAGGTATGATTTAGGGAGAGAGTCTCACAGCAGTGGCAAACACCAGGGTCTGTGGATGTTATCAGATGGGGCAGGTCTGTGACACTCTATCGGTCAGGGCTGCAGCCTCAGGGACGCCAGGTCCTGCTCTACTCCAGAGAGGGGGCCAGAGATCTGCAGGTGCCAGAGCCTCCAATCTCAGACAGGCGGAACCACCAGGAAGCAGGCAGCCTTCTGGACGTGTTCGGGTCCATTTACAAACTGTAAGGCCCATCGATCTCCAACTAGTTGCAACAGTGGTTTTGGAATTTCTTCTCCAGGGTTGAATTGGATCTGGGTCAGGCAGGCCCTGTAGTTCTTGGCTGAGCTAGCACATGACACCACGGGCAAGGCGTCAGTTTTCCGTGTTGTGACGGAACTGCCTCCACTCCAGAAGTCACTGCAAGTTTGCCTAGCGAGGATGCTTCTGCAAGAGTCCACGAGGGATCTGTTCCCTGGGCGCTGGTGGTGGTTCCTGCTCACCATGGTTTCTTTTTCTACACAGCGTGTCATGTGTTTCTGGCTTCCACATTGGCATGTACCAGGTGCCTGGGTGGCACCGTGGCCTGACACAAAGCACTTGAGCTTTGGGACCCTCAGGCCTAGGGTTACACCTCACTCTACCTGCTCAATTCCATAGGCCACTGGGTCTAAGCCCCACCTTTTTGTGCATTTTTACATCTCTGAAATTGGTCTGTGACTTATAATCAGTGATGCCTTGAAGTTATAACTGGCAGTTCCTTTTCTCTCTTTGCTGTTTATAATTAACAAATGGCATGTGTTACACTCTACAGAGTCTCGGATTCCTTTAATTAGGTGTCTGGCCCTTATCAAATCCTTTCTGTGTGATTGTTTCCACATCCGTAGACTGGAGCTAGGTGCACCTCCCTGCAGGCCGTGGTTAAGACTAAATAAGACACTCCAGGGACAACACCCAGGCATGGTGACTGCCAGGTGCAGAGAGCTGCGGCCACTGTTAGCCGAACAGCAGAGGTGGCCTCCTTTTACAGAGGGGACGCAGGACCAAGGCCACATTGTCACAGGCAGAGATCAGGGCTTTCAGAGGACTCTCGCCAGCATCCTCTTATCCTGGGTTTCTGAGCATCCTGGCCAGAAACAGGGCTCCCCTGTGCTCCAACCCGGGTAGCTGGCTGGGGACAAGACAAGATGGCTCGGGAACACTCAGGTACTGGTGGTCTTGGGGCAGAACCCAGCAGCACGACCGATGCCACCACCTGTGCCAGCCCCATTTTACAGGAAGTAATGGCCATCAGGCCATTATCGCCTGAACATTGGATGTAAGGAAAGTCAAGTCAGTGTTTGCCAGTAATTGAAGGGGTAGGTGCTTAAAACTGTTGTTTTTACTACTATGTTTCAAATTTCTTTTTAAAAGAAAAAGCCAATTTCTCCCCCATCATCCATTCTGCATTTGGCAGCACTTCCGTTTTGTTCTATTCAGGATTTCCCCTTCTGCTTCTCCCAGAGGCTGTCCCTTTTCGGGTGGGGAAATGTCACCTCAAGGCATCCAGGACAGCATGCTTGGTTCTCAAAGGCACCTGCCACACTGGCATCGTCATCTGTCTTCGGTGGCAGCTACTTCTGGTGGACAGGTAAGTGTTCTCCTTCTGGCTCCCTGGCCCTTGGTTCAGTTTGCATCTGCTGTCACACCACACCGCCCCAGGCCAGAGGACCTCCGGGCCATCAGATGCACCCCCCAAACCTCCTGCTGCTCCCCACAAAATTCCAGAGCCATGAGGGCTTGTGACATGGCCTGGCCCCTCAGGTAGCCACACCTGGCCAGTGGTCCCTCCTGCTGAGTACAGGGATTTCTCAGTGGAGCTTCCTGCCTCTCAGCTGCTCTCGGGGAGTGGGGTGCTCATCAGCCCTGCTTGTGGGTCCCCCAAACTATTGGACATGCTGTCATCCCCTTAATGTCAAGGTTCAGGGTGTGGAGTGTGTGGGAAGGGCCATTCCCAGAGACTCCTGCCAGCATCTGTCACTCTGTTTCTTTTGGAGGACTTTTTACTCCTTTGCTCAGGGAGTCATTAATCTGTGTAAGTAGGGGAAAAAACAGTTTAATAAACTGTACACCAGTCCTCCTGAGGTCTGCATGCTCAGATCTGGACGCCCCAAAGGCAAGACTTTGAGACTCTCAAACTCTTCTCTGCCGTGGGTTTCGAAAGGATTTTGCAATTCAAAAGCTGCATGTTTGCGTCTTTCCCTGCCCTTGTGCTGTGGCCACTCCACTATAAGGTCAAGAATGAAGGAGGATCCAGCGAGCATGGCAGTAAAGTTTTCTAAATATGTCTAGATATCATCCTTACATCGTAAGAAGAAATACTGAGGAGACCACCCCTCTGTATGGAATTGGTTAACTGAGCTATTAGGCAACTATAGGTTAACTAGGTTATTGTGCTCTTTGTAGAATGTACCCAGGTAGTCATAACAACTTCTGTAATCTTCACCAAAGGAGCATAACACACTCAGAAAGTCCTGGCAGAACTCTTTGCTGTCCCCCATTCTGCTGCTCTGCTTTGTGTGAATCCTGCTTGCTATATTCCTTTTTGGGGGGGTACCGGGGATTGAACTCGGGTCCTTGTGCTTGCACAGTAGGTGGCGAAACCACTGAGCTAAATCCCTGGCCCACTTGTTATATTCCTAAGGAAACTCCAATGGAATTAAGCTTCATAAATGTAAAAAGAGGAATATAAAGAAGCACAAACTTCTATTTGGGGCTCTCAAAACTGATAGGAGTCACTTGCTGAGCTGCTGGCATTAAAAAAAGCCTCCTATCTGTGTGTTAAGAGTGGTCTGCCCGGGGTCCTCACAGTTTCCTGCTTCACTATAACAAGGTCCATGTTGTAAATTCAACTAAGCTCTCAAACATTTATACAAAAGACCTTGGAGAGGAGACAGGATTTGTAACCTCACTCCACCCCCAACCAAAAGGCTGAGACTTCTGGTGGGAGACAGGTTCCAGAGTCATTGCAGAAGAAGCCCCCAAACCAGATCCCTGTCCCCCAGCCCAGGTCAGCAGGGAGGATATGGCCTGTGCCCAGACCCTCAGCTGCTGCACTGGGGCAGACACAGGAGCCCTGGGTCAGCTTCCAGTGTATCCTGGCCGGAGCCCATTCAAGCTCGTCTAATTTCCAGTTCTCTGCCCTCAGCAGCCCACTTTTCCTGGGCTCCTGCCTCTGTCCTGGATCTTGCTCTCCAAGCCTGCAGTGGATTCGTTGTATTCCCAGAGCCTCCTTACCCAGGTGGCAGTCAGGAATCCAAAACCAGCACAGCACTGGCAAACTAGGAACAAGGGGCTGACCTGGGAGACCTCATGCTAACTTTACCCAGCTGCAGACAGGAGAACATCTGCCCACCGCCTCCATGAGCTCAATAGGAGAGAAGGCACGATTGGTTAGAAAAAGGAGCAGAAAGTCTTGAGGACAGGGTGTGTATTTCATCCCCAAAATGAAATAGCAAGGTGACATAAAAAGGGAAATGGATGAGAAATGGAAGAACTGCAAATTAACTAAAAACATGTTTGAGGGCCGGGGATTTAGCTCAGTGGTGCCGCCATCTGTCTCACAAGTGCAAGGTCCCAAGTTCGATCCCTGGTACCAAAAAAAAAAGGTAAAACATGTTTGAATGAAAAACCACTTTGGGAATGGTTAACAAAAAATAGACTTGATGACCCAGAAAAGCAGATCTGCAAGAGGGAGAGAACTTGGCCAGGTCTCCTGGGGTGCCGTGAAAAAGGATAAAGAGGTGACGAAGATAGGAGTCTCTTGGGGGAGTTCAGGCACAGACTACAGGACTGGGCTCTCAGGTGGACAAGGCTTCAGTGAGAGGAGTGGGATGCTGGAAAGGAGGAGGATCTGACCATCAGCACGGGTTGGGGTGGAATAGGAGGCAGCATATAAAGAGCTGGGGCCTCACAGAATTGTGCCTGCATTTTGCATGGTCCAGCATCGCGGGCGTTGGAGTTGCTGTCACTGTTCCCTGGAGTCCTGCACGTGGTCTCCTGCAGGCTCCATGTTCAGTGCTGTGAACTTCATCTTTTTCTACATCTTCCTGGAGATGTAGAGGGACGGTGGCAACCATACTAGGTGCCAGGAGCTGGGGGAGCCAGGTCATGGTGAGGATGCTGGGTGGGCATAGAGGGCCAAAGGGGTGGTGAGCAGACCGTAAAGATGACCGCCTTCTTCATTTTGCATAGGATGAGGAGTGCTACCCATCAATTAAGAGAAATGGCCCGTGAAGAGATGGTTTTGCTCAGCAGAGTACAACGCTTTCAGAATCACCCTGGCAAATAATGATGCATCGATCCAGAAGCCCAGCCCTCTGACTCAGCAAGCTGATAAGTGATGGAGTGTGGAGGGGAGGAACATGGGAAACCCTGGAGGGGCCATCTGGCCCTTCATGCTCTGCACTTCCATGCGCTGGCCTCACCAGTGTCACCTGGGGCTTAGCCTCACCCTTGTCCTTCTGAAGAGACCCGCTGGGGACACAGCTCAGCACGACTCTTTTGAACACATGCATTGGAGTCAGAAATACTGACCTTGATGCGCCGGGGTACTTGACATCCCTGACATCTCCAGGCCCAACCCATGGAAGTGGGATCAACAGGCCTGCTTCCATCTCCCCCCAGGAGCATGGTGACACCCACTGTGACCTTCAGTAGAAAAGTGCTTTGGAAAGGACAAAATTCCCCCACTGATGGGGATCAGGAGGATTCTCAGAATATGGGGATTGAAAAGAGAGGCTAAGGGTAAATATTCTAGAATGAGGCATAGTAATGTCAGAAAACCATTCTACTTCTAAGAGGAAAAAACATCGCTGAGGCCTGTTAACGAGAAGGAAAGATTTCCAAACTGTATTTAAGTGTGGATTTGGATGGACACCAGCTCTGGGACCACCCCAAGGCCCTTTCTATCTGTCTGACTGGACTCCCTGTGATGTGTGTCATCCACTGTGAAGTGGCTGCCTGGGAGGCTTGAAAAGAAAATCCCAATTGTCTTCTTTTTCTTTATCTATAGATGACAGTTTTCCAGCAGGTTGAAAACTGTGGTCTGTCGAAGGAGGTTGGAGGCAGAGGGAACGCTCTCCTTTGGCTGGACATCTGCTAACACAGTCTGCCTTCTGATTCTTTTTTCAATCCCAAAGCATATTTCCTACAGGCAAGAAGCAGCTCTTCACCAATGAGTACTGGAGCTAGACAGGGTGGAGGAGACCCAGGCCTGCAAACTGGGGGGGCTCTGCACTGGCAGTGGCCTTGAGCATAAGAAAATGCGCTCTGGTGCTCCAGCTCCTCTTTACTGGGATGATTAAATGTAGAAAAAGAAAGGAGGAAGAAGGAGTGAGGAAGGAAGGGAAAAGAAAGTAAAAAGCATCTAAACTTAATGAGGTCTCTTGGATTGTATCCTGAAACAGGACAGGAACATTAATGAAATCCAAATTAAGTTGTGGTTTAATCATGGTACAGTAATATTAACTTTTAAATGGGGACAGAAGTACCTTGATCACCTAAGATGATAAACAGCAGGGGGACCTGGGGGACAATTTAGGGGACTCTATACTATTTTTGCAATTTTTCTGTAGATCTAAACTTGCTCCAAAACAAAAATTCATTTAAAAAATATAAAGTGCTTAGAACAATGCCTGGCATAAAGCAAGCACTTGATAAACATCGACTACTATGTAATGATGCCATTCAATTCTAACCACTATCACTCAGTCATTAATTATTTTCCAGAGAGTATCACACTTTTCTGCCAGCCCTGAGGCCCTTCCTCCTGGGGCCATTATTGACCCCTCCCCTTTGCCCTTCCTTCTTAATACCAAGACCTTACTTTTAGCTATTCTATTTTCAGGTTTATTGTCTCTAGGTTGCACGTTGTAAGTTGCTCCAGTTTCCTTGCGAGTCACTAGGATATCGATTAATAATTAAAATACGCATAAGTGGATGAATCGGCTTTTCCCTGCTCCACACACCCAGGGTAAACCCTTCCCAATCTGCTGCAAGCTGGGCCACCTTGTCTCTCTGCCTTCCCACCAGGTGGCTGCAACTGAGGAGGGGGGTGCACATGAATGGGAGGCTCTAGGCACCAGGGGTTGAGGCAGGAAGGGGGGTGGGATGGTGGCCTTGGGGCCAATGGCCATCCTGATCTCAGGATCTTGGGCCCTTGTCTAAGGACAGGAGACCCAGATCCAATCTCTCGCCCATGTCCATTTCTGGTCAGGGGATATTCTCAGTTCACCATTTGTTCACTCTTCATTCATTCATTTGCAGAGAGAAAAAGGTGATTCAGAAGAAGGAATTTGGGATGTGGTCTTTCTCTACCCAAGCAGGCCACTTTTCTGTCCTGAGGAAAGGGGAGGGAAGGACAAGCTCCTCACCCCTTCTCTGTCTTGGTTGATTCTTCCCCTCAAGTCTTCATCCCTCCTTTCTTCTTCAGGTCACTCCTTGGACATTTCAAAGTCAAGTTTAAGGAGTGATATAGTTCACGGGAGAATCAGGCCTTTCCAGAAGCACCGGGGGATTGCAAGGGTGGAGTGGGGAAGATTTGGATAGAAATCTAAGCTAGATATTTCCAGAGGGATGGAACAAAAGAATGATGGGTATCTACTGAGCTCGTAGGATATGCCAGAAACTGTGCTATTCAATTAGTTTGCATGGAGATGATGGGACACAGAGCTGTTAGACATGAAGAATAAGAGATGCAGAAAGATGTCACAGCTACCTAGGGTCACAGAACTGGATGGTCTCAGAGTTGGGTTTTCGATAGAGGCAGTGAGTGTAGGATGTACCTCTGCCCTTGGTGGTTAGGTGGTATGGAGCTCACAGGAAGCCAAGTGGTCTCCTCAGGGTTGACTTGGGAGAGATTCCAGGAGTGTGTGCTCATTTCCACCTGCAGGGCGGGGTCAGGAGAGGGAGGACAAGGGCCACCTCCAAGAGTGTTGGTCTGGTCTCGTACAGCCCCTCAGGCCTCCCCTGAGCCTTTGAGGCTGTGGTCCTCAGGCACTTGGGTCCCTGTTACTCCGAATCCTGGCTAAGGCCAGCCCAGTAGTCAGAGGCCTGGGTGAAGTCAGGGATGTGGGTGTCCGGTGCCGGTGATCAGGACAGAGAGACCTACTGAGCAAGCAGTCAAGGTGGCAGCACAAAGTGCCAGTCCCAGAAGGGGCACAACATCGAAGGCATTCCCACTTTTGCCCAGAAGGACCTCACATCCTCCCTGCAGGGAGACGCCAGGCTCACGCCGGGGCTGCCCAGAGGGCCAAAGGAGGAAGTCAATTTGCAGAGTTGTAGGAAACCCCAGGTGCCACCCTTAGGCTACACATTAAGCCCCAGGCTCAGCACCAGATGTTTTACATAGGTTTCTCTTTTCATTTTAATCTTCAAACTACTGGAGGTCTGAATAGCTATCTCCACTTTGCAGAGGCAGTGAAAGCCCCACAAGGGGACAATGGCATGCAAGGGGCCACGTGGCTTCTCCTCAGCATCCTAGCTCCAACCACCATGGCTCCAGATCTAGCTCTTCCTTCCCCAGGCAGCCTCTTGGGGTGGGGCAGCCCTCCCTCAGGTAGAGTCTCTCCCCAAGGCCGCCCCACCCCACACTTGCTCATCTGCTTACCTCCCCTCAAGCCTGAAAGGCATTTTTCCTACCTGCCTCGGGACTGTGCTGTGAGGGAGGCTGGCCAGGTGTTCTCCCATTTCACAGGCAAAGAAGCTGAGGCTCAGAGAAATGGAGCCGTTGGCCACTGGGCCCAGACTATCCAGGACAAGGTGGTCATTCAAATCCATCCCTCTACATCCGGTCCTCCGGGCCGTCATAGTACCACCTGCAGATTCAGATGCATCTATGTTATGTCTCCACCTGTCTGCAAACCTCTTCTATGGCTCTAGGGACAGCTTGCCCAGGGCCAAGTGCAGAAGCAGGCTCTGTCCCCAGTCTGCAGAGACCCTGGAGGCACCGTGCCCAGCTGCTGAGTGGGGCCTTCTGTCTCCCCAAGGTGTCTCTCTGCAGGGAAGATGCCTATCATGTGAAGCGGGTCACAGAGCAGACACTGGGGCCTGTGTGACCTTGTAGGTGGCTTGGCCTTTGTCAGGGCTGTGTTTGGGCCCTCCTCCAATTGCAGAGTTCACTGGGAGGCTCCTGTCTGCTTGGGCTGGATCACTGGGGTCCTTGATGGTACTGGCCAAGTGAGAGTGTCCCAGAGAAAATGGGGCACCCTACCAAGAAACCCCGCCAGAGAGCCAGCAGGATGCTCATCCCTCTCCCGGAGCCTGGCTTCTGTCCTCTAATGTCTTCCTCCTCAGAGTCAGAGAGAAGAGCTTTATTGTTACCACAACACTGGGGTCATGGCCCACGGTGACGCAGAGCGAAACCAAGGACAGTGGATGCAAGATCCAGGCAAATTTATTTAAAAGATGTAAAGGCAAGAAGGTAAAAGATATAAAGCCAAGAAAGTAAAGACAAAGAAGTAAAGCTCCTGCTAGCTGGGAGGGGAATCCCAAGTAGGGTGCCCATGAGGGCTCTTTGTTTTGGGGCCTTTAAGGGGTGTGTAAGGGAACTCGGCTGCTGTGTAAGCAATATGATCTCCACCCTGTAGGAGACCACATAGGACCCTAGAAGGGCCCATGCAGGGCCTGTGTGCCCTTGAGCCAGTGGCCTGCCTGATCATGCTCTGGGGAGGTCCCTGCCAGCCGAAGGACACCTGGCAGATGTTTTGTAAGATCCCTGGAGGGTTGTGACTCAGCAGACTCCACTTTGGGGCCACTGTCCTTACTGCCTAATAGAATCTTCACTCCTGTCTCACTCACTCTTATCACCTTACGTTTGTTTGTTTGAAGCTTATTTGACAAATGAGGAAACTGAAGTCCAAATAAACAGTCATCACTGGCCCGTGGTGATCCGAGACTATACTCCCTGCACTGAGGGAGGCTGAGGAAGGAGGATGGTGAGCTCAAGCCCAACCTGGATAATTTAGCAACTTAGTGTGACCTCGTCTCAAAATTTCAAAAGAGGGCTGTAGTTCAGTGAGGAGGGCCTGGATGCAGGCCCCAGTGAGGCAAACATTAAAATAAAAAAGTCAGGAGAGCCAGAGAGGCCTCAGAAGGGTACCAACACCCAGAGCGGCCCTCCTGTTGAGTGACCTGACCTGGCACTCGCCCTTGGCCACCCGGATTTAGAAGTGGGGACCCATACGCAGCCAGCAGCCCAGGAATGTGGCTGTGCCTGCCCTCCCATGAATGCCTGGTCTGTCCCTGCTGCAACCCAGCCTCCAGCCTCTGGAAGGTGGGGCTAGAGGGATTCCCGGACGCTGGCTGCCTCCTTCACCACTTCCAGCAGCCCTCGAGGGTTCACCTGAGCCACGAGGGTACGAGGGTTTGATGTCCCCAGCTCAGACCCCCACGACCCTCCCCCAGGGCTTCCTCCCTCCCTCTCTTCCCTCTTCTCTTTCTCCTTTTCTCCCTCTCTCTTCACACCCTGAAATGGTTTCTCTAAGAGACTGGGGCAGCCAAATTCCACAACATTTAAATCACAGTTGCGTTTAATTCTGGCAAATGACATTTTCATAGAGTCATAGAATGTGAGAACTTGAAAGGGTCTGATTGATGGTTTCTACCAACTCTTGTCTTTTAAAAGACAAGGACAATTAATAGCTGAGGAAAATGAAGGGGCGGGAGGCTCACCCAGGGTCAACCAGCAGGTCAGCGCAGCAACAGGTAGGCCCCAGGACTTGGATGCCACTCCCGATCCACATACCCCTTCCCGCTGCCAGCTGAGTGGCATCAAGCTGGTGCCCTGAGAGGTCAGTGGTCCAGCAAGGGCGAGGGACAAACCCAGCTGCCTGCAGGGGGCCCACAGGCTGTGTCTGGGTGGAGTAAGCAGGACTTGGTGTGACTGACTCAGGCCAATGCCATGGAGGCCAGGGATTTCTAGACATTATAATTTTTAAAGATGAGTTAGAAAGTACCGTTTTTAAATGTAAAACATTCTCATTTTAAAACCCAGAGACAATTCACATTCAGAACAAAAACACTGGAGACTAATCTGTGGCCTCCAATGGAGCCCAAGTATCCCTTTTTACAGATGAGGAAACTGAGGCACGGACCACAGACAGCCATACAGTTGAGTCATCTCTGGGGAATGCCACATTGGGATTGCTGTCCTGTCACCGCTACCATGACCTCATGTGAGAGTTTGTCCCCAAGCATGGGGACCCAGCCCTTCCTTCCCGGGTCCTCTGTGGCTCGCCCTGGGAACTTTAGCCTTGGTCTTCTGTCACTTTCTCCTTATGACCCATATTCACAGAATCTCTGAGTATTTTTTTGCCTGACGCATGCTACCAAGTCTCAAAAGTGGGCCAGGACCTTCCAAGAACCCTGCTGGGGGCTGGGAAGGCAGCAGACACATCCACCCTCCGGCAAGCCCTTCCCACCGGCTGCACCCCAAATAGCACAGCTGACACCCCAGAAAAATCCCATAAAGCCGAATTCGGACCTTGTGCACCAAAGCGGAAGATGAGATCATAGCTGCCCTGCCGCCTTCCCTGGTCGGCTAAATCCGTCAGTAGTCGTCGGCCACCAGGCCCTCCCTGACCCCTCCTGCATGTCCAGCCTGGAACCTGAGACAAGAGGGGGCGGGTGGGGAGGGGGGCATGACACACAGCCTCATAAAAGCATGGGAGAGTGGGTGCTAAGATGAGTATTGCAGATTTAATAAGGGCTCCGTGAGTCTGAAATAAAAGATGGTTAATTGGGGAAAATGGGTCTGGAGGAGGCTTGAGTGATGGTAGAATTCGTATGGATGGAGAAGAACAAAGAAGACACTGAGGTGGGGCAGGGTGTGGCACATTGGGGTCCCCTGCTGCCTCAGCTCCTGGAGGCTCAATTGTCCTGAGCTTTGCTTCCTCACTTGGGCTAGATGAGCTCAGCCTTCCATTATTCCCGCGCTTTATTCCTCCAGCACCTAGCCTATGCCTGACAGAAGCCTCTGCTTGAATGAATGAACAAATGCTTTAACATGAACATCAAGCTAATGAGAAAGGCATGATGGCACATACCTGAATAAGGCAATTGAACACTTAACATTTTCAAGGTATCTCTTTGTTGCTGTTTGTGCCATTCCCCTAACAACCTGCTAGACAGAATGCGTGGGTTTTACTAATCCTGTTTGACAAGCAAGAAAACTGAGGCTTGGGGCGTGGACAGGAGCAGTGGCTCACCTGAAAGATGAGTCTGGGTGAAGGAACTGGGCCTGGTGGCTCTGCCATCCTGGGTCCTGCCTGCAGGGCCTGTCACAGGTGGCAAGGAGAGTCTGGCTGTCTCAGGAAGCAGGAGCAGCCTGTTCATTCATGGACTGTGCCCCTTCGGTCACCTGGGCAGCACTTAGCAGGAGGAAGCTGGCAGTTTGACACCTGTCTGATGACCCCTGCAGCACTCTGATTTGTCCGGAATTAAGCGGTGGAAGGGTCAGAGTATCGTTCATTGTTTCCCCCAAGTTACTCTAAGCAACTCACCCACCCCGATCATCCAAGACTTTTCCTGAGGTTCTCTGGCAGTCAGCTGCTGATTCTTTCCAGGGGAAGTCACCTTGTCCCCAAGGGCAATAGGAGAACCCTAAGAACCCTTTAAACAGTGACTTAACCCAACACTGGCTCAAAGACTGCAGGATTTATCAAAGCCATCAATCTTCGCCTGGGCTCTGTGACCCTCCATGTGAGACGAGAAACATGGGTCATTTCTCAGTCTCCTTGGACCACAGGTCATTTTTCTTGAGGACTGGTATGGAGGGCTATGTTTCACTGTTTTGGAAAGGTTTCTGCACACAGCCACTTGTTTCTGGGTGGCCTTGGACAAGTGCCTGAGCCTCCATGTCTGTGTCCTTCAGTCAGGGACACCGTACTGGTTTAAGGATTAGGTGACCCAGCACATATCCACAGCCAACCGTCCCACCACCACACAGGTGTATGAACCTGCACCCCACCAGGTGTGTGGTATGTGAAATTTACTGGAAAAGACCAATGAACAAGTCACTTCTTAGTTAACCAAAGGATTCTCTGAGGTGCAAAACAAGCAACGTTTTCTTAAATTGTAAATCTGCCCATTTCTCTCTCCCACGCTGATTTACACAACATGGTACAATCTAAAATACTCTCACTCACCGAAAACATTGTGCATGTAAACTGGAGGTGTGGAATCTGTGAATTCATCCCCAAGCCTCTAAGGTCATTTTACGATCTCAGGACCTCCAGGGGAGATGCCTCTTGAGGCTGCCTGGTCATTAAGGCCCTGTGTCCCCAGTGCCTCTGGAAGAGTAGTATTCCTCTCACAGTGGCCCTATGTAAGCACCTCACAGACTCAGTACCTCACCCCCAAAATGCCCAGGCCAAGTTCATGCTAATCTCCTGCTGCCTGGGATTGGCTCCTCCTATTGGCACAGACAACTGGTAGCGTCCCTTGGATCCATTCTCCCCTCCACCTTTGTGATGGAACCAAAAACTACATTTCCCAGTCTCCCTTGCTGGAGGTGGGTGTGGCCACAAGACAAAACTTGCCAATGAGCTGCGAGGAAGCACTGTGTCTGATTTCTTGGTGGCTCCCGTCCTAATGTGAACCTTGCTCATTCAACTTCCTGTTTCCTCTTCCTGCAGGTTAGGACAGTGGTGTGCCAGCAAGGCTCTGAAGCAGCTTTCCCGGACCAAGGACTGAGAAAGACAGGGCAATGAGACGGAGGGAGCCTTGGTATCCAAAACCATCAAACTGTCCAGGAGCCCTGAACAGCTTCAGTTACTGCTGTTTCCCGAGGGAGGAAGGCTCTACTGTTGTGCGGAAGCCAGAGTGATCATGTCTTTTGTACCACTTCACTTTGCACTGTTGCTAAACATTCTTTAAGGCCCACCTGAAGGCCACCTACTCCCTGAAGTCTCGCCTGATTACATCCATGATCTCTGCCCTTACAGAACATATCACCCGAAACATAACCCTATGCCACTTCTTGATGCATGCAATTCTATTTGTTTAATATCAGTCCATGGAAATGGAGTGTGACAAACATTATGAAGATATGAAAAGACAGTATGACCTCCCTTGCCTATGGTTAGTTGTCTTGGAATCTCTTTCACAGGCATAGTTGCCCAGGTATGCTGTGTACTAGGTGTTGGCAGGGCTGGCCACAGACCTTTGATGCCACCATTCATGGCACACAACAGTGGAGACAGACAGGAAGCTGGACTCATATGTCACCAGGAAAAACTAAAGGGGAAATAATACTGGCCACAGCTGGTGGGGTGTGTCCCAGTGTCCAACCTTTAAGTACAATCTGATGTCAGTGTCAGAGACACAGAGCCCGAGTCAGAACCTGTTATAATCAGGTTCTTCTACCCTGAGAAAATGAGGCAGGCTGACTGCTGCCACCATAGAGGTGACAAATGTTTGCCCTTGGGTGTGAGGATGACTGCCTGATGCCACGCTGTCCCAGGGAGACGTGCGCATCTGTTCCAGCTGGAGTGTGGTCAGCCTGACCAGCTGCCCGTGGACCGACCAGCTGGAGCTCTGTGCAGGGATGGGCTCACTGTCGTACTCAGTGCTATTAGCAGTGGCTCAAGATGCAATGGAAGGCCTTACAAGGTGGTGAGCTTCCGACACAACAGGTAACCAAGCCAGATGCCCCCTGTTGGGGATGCTGTCAGGGGACACCAGCCTCAGGCTAGGGAAGGAG